AAAGCAGAAATTTATGTGTAAATTGTCTAGTGTTTCTTACGTTGTTTCCCTATTTCTACGAGAAAAGAAACTTTTCCAATGCACTTACAAGAAACAATCTTCCTCCAGAAACCACCCCTAAAGTTAATTAGCGAGTAAGATTTCTGGTATAGAACATTAGAAAAAAAAAACACGTAGTATAACTTCACTTCACTCAGAATCTAAAATTAATTAGTTAGATTCTGAGTGGAGCGAAGAAGCTTATGGTTTAAAAAAATTTTCTTTTTTCATCTATGCGCAACTTTTCTACCAAAAGACTTGCTCGGATTTCTACGTGTAGCACCTTTTCTGAAAGGAAATTTGCATTGAGAAGTACTTTAGGGAGGTTATTTTTCGATTTTCTCGATAAAAATATTACGGCCTTCTTTTTTCCTGTTAACAAGTTTTCCACCAGCAATTTTGCTCCAACTTTTCATGATAGCAATGTTTCTAAAAGAAAATTTCACTAGCAATGTACTTTAGAGATGCAATTTTTTGATTTTACCAGCAAATGTGAAAAACCTGGATAAAACATGGGATAATTGAGAAAATCGGTACAATATTAAACAAATTTTACTAAAGAAAATACATAAAGCCTATTTAATTATTTGTTTTACTATAAAATGACATATTTATTGTTGACAAAGCATCACTATCAACTGAACTCCGCTCAGAATCGTTTTTTCGTAAGAAATGGTTTATCGTATGGCTTACAGATATACATTCAATTCCCATCTATATCCTACCTTCCCAACTTCCCACCTACATCAGTGGCTGCACGCATCCCGTCCGTTATCTTACCACTCTTTTTTAGTTCCTCTGTTATTGCTATCCAATTAATTATAAGAAAAAATAAATTATAATACTTAAATAAAAAATAATAAGTATATAGATTGTAGTTTTTAGTTATTGTCAAACATTATTGATTGTAATTATGAGACACAAAATTGAACAGACATTAGTATTATTATTCTTTTGTATTATATTTTATTATATTTGTTTAACGGACTTTTCAATCCAATTTAGGTGGGTAAATATAATAGATTAATAACAATTAAGATACAATATGACACAAAAAATAAAATTCTTTATATATATATAATGCAATTAAAAACAAATATAAATACTTATAACTGCAGTGGCGTGGCGAAGGTATTATTTTGGAAAAATTGCTCTTTTAAAAGGTTTGGTAGGTGGGTGGTCCCCCTTCAACTAAATACCTAGCCATATTGTGGACTAGGTATCTAAATCATAGAAAATTGAAATATACTACGTATACGAATATGTGTCTTACATTCTACACTCTACATCATAAAACTTGTTAATTATAATTCAACAATTTAGTTCAAAATAGTAGTAAATTAGTAAGCCGAAAACATCAGTCTATCGATACAGACGGTCGTTGTCGGTCGGTTAGGTTATTAGGAAAACACGGATAAGCTTGTTGGTTTCTAGAAATTTGCACGACCGCGATTGCTTATACTCGCATAATAAAAATACAAAGACCTTGACCTCCTCACTGCCAACAATATTTTATACAATATTAAATCTGCATACACTAAAACACAAATCAAGGTACAAGATAACGAGTGTAGTAAATTTAAAATTAACTAATTAAGTAGGTACATCCAGGAGCCGATTGGGGAAAAATTTCGGCCAGGGAAAATACAAAAATACCTATTAATTTACCAAATACTGAATTTTAGTCAATATATATATAACCTATCATTATTTAAACAGAACTAAAAATTGTTTTCACACATTTGGAAAGATATTATACACTGTCAAGTTCCGTCATTTGTCAATCATATCTGTATGTAATATTTAATATTAAATTTAAAAAAGAACTGTATTCTTTTTGTATCGTTGAACACACAACTTCATTACAAGCTTAGGCTTAAAGGAGTAAATATATTCTTTATACGCAGAGTGATACACTAAGCGTGCTCATCCAATTTTGTTACCTTGTGTACATTTTTGCTCCTCACCAAAAATGAGTTCAACACGCCACTGCTTATAAGTAAGTAAATAACATGAAGTATAAAATAAATTATTTATGCATACAAAATGATAGTAATGTTAAGTTAGGTTGTTATGGTTAGGTTAGTGTGGTACCTAACTTAGTCGAACTAAGATCTTAATTTTAAATGTACATATATATGTTGGTAGTGGCCTATACACTCACTCTTGCCCTGGAGGGTTAGAAAACTTTGAACAATTTTGTTCCTAATAATCAAACTCATATAATAGGTAGGTCGATAATAATTAATTCCTAAAACGAATACAAATCTTTAAAGTTCGTGGCAGTTATTTATTATTAGGTACCTCTATATTATTATTATTATATAAGTAGGCACACATTTATAACAAATATTCCATCCTCCTTTTTCATTACTTATTCAATAATAAATTCAACAAACACAATATCGAGGGTAATTGAATGACATCTTTTCATTGACAACCTAGCTAGGTTATGGTAATCTTGCTATTTTTTTTTCATCGTGTATAAAATAATATACCTACTGTAGGTACTATATACAATGTACGCCTCAACAATAATTTGTTACACATACCGTTGTTATTTTGACAACTGTTCTGAACAGTTCACAGTAAAATAGCTAGGTGTATATAATATTATTGTAAATTCGTATTTTTATAATCAGAATAGCTGTAGGTACCTAATATGTATTTGAGCATTTAATTGTTAACATAACTGTACAAAACACTAAACACTTAATAATATTAAAATGTCCAGTAGTAACCGTTTATAATGACATTCAAGGTTAGGTACTAGTTAAAATTAGTGATAATAACCGATTGTCTTTACAACTAAAATGCCAACACAGCAAAAAAATATTTCCATAATATGAACAAAATATTTTTAGGAAAATAACTAACCGAACTTAACCGTTAGGTTGTCAAATTATTTTCGATTATTGTTAAATATTTTTTGCCCAAATAGTTCATGTTTGGAAAATATTTTAGAATAACATTTATCAAACATTTTATCTCATATAACAAATATTTTGTTATAAGAATAAAATATTTATACAATATTATTAGTAAAATATTTATTATTTAACTACTTCAAATTATTTATAAAATATTACCATTTCCCAAATACTGTGTGGCTGATAAAATAAAATTTAAAAACTTGATTACCTATAATATATATTTATATGAACATTTTGGTATTTTATATTACAATCAATGTGTCACACTTTTATCACTAAATCGTGATTAAATTTTTCTAAATCGTATTTATGGTAAAATAATTAAAACAATGTGCGTTTCCATGACAACAATGATTGTTTAAAGAAGATGAAAATAATAAAAACTTAATAATATTAAAATATAAGTAAATATGGTTACCAATAACAATCTTATTTTTAATCTTTCAATTTTTTTTATCTTAAGACCGAGATTTTCCTTATTATATCGAATATTCATGAGAATTTCAAAAAATTACCTCTGTAAAGTACCACCCAGAGAAAATTTCCTTTCGGAAAAGGTGCTATACTTGATAATCGGATTATGCTTTCTGGTAGAAAAAGTGTTCACATAAAAAAAATAAATATCATTGTAAAATTGTCAATACATTCCTCGTTCCACTCAGAATTTAAAATAGTTGTTCATTATTTTGAAATTAAATTTGCATTGTATTAAAAAAAAAAAACTATTATCTTAGTTTGTACTTTATACCTACTAAACAGCAATACATTCTAGTATTATTGATTGTTATAATATTACCTTCGGTTTAAAAGTTTAATAGGTACAGTCATTAATTCGTTATAGATAACAGATTTTTCTGCCCCCACCCTCAGACTCCAATTTTAGCCTATGAAAAGTAAAATTTTGTAATGATTTTTTAATTTAATTTAAACTTTTTTGTTGATTAAAACATAGGTATCTACATACATGTAGACAGTAGATAAGTAAAGAAAAATAACACATAAGTTAATAAAATAAATTAATAAATATTGGGTAAATATTTGTTGTATATTGAATACATATATTGTAAGTTAATATCGAAGGATTCCCTTCCCTCAGGAAAAAGTTCAAAAACCGCCACTGGATATCATTATAAACTTATTATATCACTGTAATTATTTATTATTTATCATATTTATTTAGGTAGGTACTTTAAATTCTGAGTAATTTTCGAGAGTAATGTATTGTAACGATTTAACATAACGAACAATACTTGTTCACAATTTTTTGTTTTTTGGCTCTGGGGGGGGGGGTTAAACCCGAACCCCTCCCCCCTCATAAGTACGCCACTGCAGTCTGTCGGTTTGGAATATTATAATAACTATAATACCTATACCTATACCTATTTAACGAATATAAGTATACCTACGCATTTTCCATATTCCATCCGTTTATACTTAACATGAATTATTCCTCTCTTTCTCTCGCTGGCGTTTTTTTCGGTGGAGGTACCTAGGTAATAATCGAATAAAAGTAATCACTTATAATAATATGTTCATAAAAACATATTTTCTGGATTCGAATTCAAATACCTAGGCAGTTAATAATAATACGAAAGTGTGCGGAACGAATAACGACTAATTGTCTCTCGTTGTGGCTCCGTAGACGATGAAAAAAAAAAACCAAATAAAAAACCAACCGCCACTGAATTCGGGCACATCTATAAAAATAATTAATTGTAAAATAGTAGGCGGCAGACTGTGCAGAGTGTGCGATTGCATGCATGTTCTGTGCGCTTTTGGTTTCAATTAATATTATTGTGACATTTGACGTTGTCTTTCGTAGACGGTACACACCGTGTTTCATGATCATGACGGATAGAAAATTGTTAACGCATCGTTTCCCGTTTTCCGCCACCTGCCCGGCCGTGCGGGCCGCCGCCTACGCGTAGTACCCGCCCAGACCGCCACTACACCGTCACCCCGGCCGCCGCCGCTATCACGGTTTTGTTAGTTTTTGCCGATTCGCTCACTCGCCGCTCAGTCCCTCTCCGTCTCTCTCGCCGAGACGACGACGTAACTCGCGGGTTCGGTCGATTTTTACCGCGTCCGGGGATTATTATTATTATTACTATTTGTTTGTTTGTTTGTTTTTTTTTAATTTCATTATCAGCCTTCAATTTGTCAAATTATACCTGTCCGTCTCTGACCGACGTGTTTCCGTGTCGAAACGAATGAACGTGGAAAACAAAAATTAGGGCACCGTAGCTGGTGTTTTGTACGGGCACGGTGCGCCGGTCGTGTAGTCGATGTCAGCACGGACATGATAAACCATTTGGGTTCGACTAGTCTGCCGTCAGCCGCTCTCGACGCACTTGCGCACGGAACGTGATTTTTCTTTTTCGTTTAATTTATTCCCGTTACCCGGTGCAATCGCATTGGCTCATCATCGCATCTATCTACGGGAATTTCGTTCGCAATGTAACTCGCGGAAAATACTTATCATCGTCCGACAGCTCGACTAAACCTGAGCCGTTGCAGTCATGAATTCCTGAATATTAGGTAACTACCTACCCAATAATAATATTATGACATACAACGACCGACCTAGGTACCTACGTTATTGCCCGTCTTGCCGTTTCGTTTTTTCAACGTAAACGCCCAAATCCTAGAAACTAGTTACTAACCTATATTGTAGTCTTTAGATACAACCCAATTTAGATCCACCCAGTTTTTGGATTCCAATCGCCCCCCTTTTTTTTTTTATTTTTTTTTTTTGGTCAAATTACTATGTACCTATACGTTTTAACATGAACTGGTTACTATAGATACCTAGGTTTCTAATATCGGTATTGGAATTATTTTTAAAACCGACAGATTGAACTTTCATCATAGTTACCTAGTGATAATCATAATCCATAGCTAATATAATATCCATGGTTGTAGGTGTAATAAGCCTAAGACATTCAAACTCAGAATTTCAAATAGAATTATATTTTAACAAATACGTTACTACCTACTTCAATAATTATTTTAATTTTTAATAAAGTAAACAAATGGGATAGTTATGATATGGTAATTTTGAGTTATGCTAATGATTTATTGTACATATTTCATATTTGTAATAGTATGGCAATCATTGGAACGGGTTTCAAATATAAAGAGAAAATAAATACAAATCATTATGGAGCCAGTCATAGAAGAAGCCGGAGATATCACCCTCAGAAAAGTTGCTCGTTGGATTTGTTCAACCGTTATGGTGTTTGGAGGTGTTGTCCCTTATATACCACAGTATCGAGAAATATATATCAAAGAAGACGCAGAAGGTTTTTCCATGTATGTTTGTTTAGCGCTTCTAGTTGCAAACACTCTAAGAATATTATTTTGGTGAGCATAATTTAACTATTGCCAATCTGTACACATTATTAAGTATTAAATTATTTTAGGTTCGGTAAACGTTATGAACTTCCTTTGTTACTTCAAAGTATCGTTATGAATATCATGATGCTATTAATGGTTCATCTGTGTGTGAGAGTACGTAATAAGTCACATTTGTTAAGAGAACCTGACAGACATTTTACCGGTAATTACAATTGAACATTTTTTATTTTATTAATTTTGATTGTACATTTTTGTTAAAATTATTTTTATTATTTAAGATTTTGACTGGCATTATTTCTGGCAGTGGACTGATTTTCAATCGTATATAGATTTTTTAATCGCAATGAGCATTTGCCTATCCATATTAACATTCATATTTTTACACAATGTTATATTCATTGAAGTTATTGGATTTCTTTCACTTTTGACTGAAGCTATGTTGGGTGTTCCTCAACTCGTTAAAAACTTGAAAAATCGGTCTACAGAAGGAATGAGGTAATTTATCATTATTTATTTAGCTATTTTTTTTTTTATTGTTTATTTGTTATTAGATATAACTAGAAATAAATTCATATTTTTACTATCTTTAAAAAATCATAAAATTAATTATCAATTTGTTTGATTAGGTACCTATTGTTACAAACAAAATTTATCTTGCTAAATTATTACTTTTTGAATTGCAAACCTTATAGGTATTTGAATTTTTAAACTGTAGCGCATAATTAGCGAAAAATAATTAACAAAGAATAATGCAGTTTGTTGAATATTTTTTAAATGATAATTTTTTAACTTATCCTAAAAACCATTTAGGTTTCATGGTATTTAATTTGTAAAAATTAATTGTACATTTTATTTTAAATAACATAAAAATCTCCCTTCATATGCTTTTAAAGTTTTAATAATATAAACCTATATTGAGTACGTTAGGCATGGCCTATATTTCGTAATATTTGGTATTCCACACTTTTTTTTTTTTAGCATAAATTCATGGTCACAATATAAAATTTGCTCCTATACCCTTAAATACAGTTATTTCACTAATTTTTCTATCATTTATAGTTATTGACAAATTCTTTTTAAAATAAAATGTCCAGGTTTAAACTTTATCAGGGGGAAATTTATGGATAATGTTCTTAAAAACCATAAAAGCAAACTTAAAAAAAAAATAATACACAATATCAACTAGTTTGTACTTTAATTTTACATTATTCTTTCAACAAATTTGTTTAAAATAAATAACATTCCTCTCGGTTTATTACCTTTTTCAAAGTCAGTAAACTAAGTAATAAGTTTTTGTAAAACACCATAAAATTAAATAACAAATTTTAAAATACTTTATATTTGATCAAATCTCTTTGATATACTTATTCTAAATTTGTAAAACAATTAAAAATTACTAACATTATACATTTTATAATGCTGTACTATACATTTAATAATTTTGCACTACATACAACAGATTTGGTATTACATGTAATGTGGTGTATTACACACAAAAATAGGCCCTGACATTAGGTATAATATGTATATTACATTTTCTTCAAATATTTTAATAAACTTCAAAAAATCTAAAAAAATAACTTCAAGATTTGTTTATTAATAGTGTTACAATGGTTTTACTTTGGACAACTGGTGATGCATTCAAGACATGTTATTTTGTAAGTCGCAAAGCTCCATTACAATTCTGGATGTGTGGTACTCTTCAAGTTTTAATAGATCTTACTATACTTGGTCAAGTAGTTTGGTATCGCAATGAACCATCTGCAATATATAGAAATCCTCGATTAGACTGATAATGTAAATTGATTATCTCAATATAATAATTTTGAAATTTCCTCACTCAAATGTATTGTTATCATTTTTAGAATTTCTAATCTCAAACTACTGATTGATCATAGATTATTGTTTATTAAATGTTATTTATATAGTTTTTATTTTTCTCATTTTTACTGTTTCTGTTAGTTAAATATTCATTGTTGTTTTATGTAAAATATTTAATGTGTCAACTATCATAATTGTATTTACTTATAGACTGTAAAAAAAATATATCACATAAATACCTATACTAAAAAAATATCATTTGTATGATCTTATTTTATGCAAAATTTTATCAAATTTTGGCACAATTATAATTTAAATAAATACTACATCATTATAAGTTACATTTCTAATGTAGGGTCTTGATAAAACAGTTCTTAAACAATAGGATGCTTAAATTATATTTTTCCTACACTATTGAACAATAGACTAGATTTAAATTGTTCAATTAGTATTGAGGATAATTTTAATATTTTATATTCTATTTCTATATTTTTTAATTTTAATAATTGATTACCTATAGTTATATAGTAAACATATATAAATGTAAAAACAAACGTTTTAAAACATAAATTGTTGTACTTCTCCGTCTGAATAAAATAGTTAAAAATAATGGACCCAATTATTTGCTTAAATAGATTGTGTTATAAAATTAATTTAACTTCTTTTCATTTTTAATGACTAATTGAGTATTGGTTTAGAAAAAAATAAAATAATTTAATATACCTACATTTGTGTTATTTAGATGCCTTTAAATTTTCTATTTAATAATATCTGCAGTTTTGCATAGTCAGCTAGATGTGTAATTTAGTTTAAATTAATAAAAAATTTTTCTATTTGTCAATTTTTAAAGTATTTTTCATTCATAATAAACATTTTAATTACGTAGGTAAATAGAAATATTTTAAAATTAAACATTTTTATAATTTATTTTCTTGTATTGAACATTATTGATCAACAATAATTATTCACATTTTATTACTGCATTTTTGTTGTTTTGTTGAAGGCGGAGAAGTATTAAATGAAACTAATTAGTTAAAAGTTTATACATTTTAATGTTTACATGACAATTCTGGATCTAATCTGTATAAGTAATAATATATAGTGCTCATATATATTATTATATAATAATTGTGATAGCTTTTCAGTCATTATCTGAAATTAAAAGTTTAAACATTACATTTTCATGTTTAATAATGGCTATAAAATAAATTTTACTATGAAATATGTATATTAACATAGATTAAATGTACTAGTATGTATTTTAATCTATATATTCGTATGCAATCAAAAGGTTATATTTTGTCTTGTAACAAAATTCAAGTAAGGTTTTTCTAGAGTTTTTCATATTCAAAAATACACGATTGACCTGTTATTAGAAATATTATATATTTTACATTAAATTGTGGCCATATACAATTATTTTATTTATTTTATCGGTCTTTTTTTTTTTAAAACCTAATGTTTTAAAATCAAAATTAATCATTTTATTACTATTATAATTTAAGGAAAGCTATTTTAAAATTTAATATTATATTTCTAAACTTTCAAACACACTTTTTTTCCCAATTATACACAATTTTTTTATATTTTCTTTAATTTTTAATCGCTTTAGTTAAAAAACTAAGATGCATAAAATAAAAATATATTTACTATTAAGATTAATTATACACATTTATATAGTAGTATATACATACTAATATAGGGCGTGGCATTTTATGTTTACCTTGCTATTTTTTAGTGGACATGTCCATTAAGTAAAGCTAAGTCTTCCTTCTTATCGCTTTAGTTTCAATATTAATTTTACCTTTTCCTTATTGCACGTTGAACTCAATTTAATTTTCATGGTTTTTATAATATTATGTTTAAATTAACATTATTTCTTAAGTAAATTAATTTTAAGTTTAAAATATTACATGACTTAATTATATTCAATGTAAGAAAAAAAACCATATTTAAAAAAAAATCATTTTACTATTTAATTATTATGCTTTTCTAACAAATCAGTGTTTTAACTTTCCAGAAAACATAAATTAATTTCAAGATTGTAATAAAAAAAATATTGTAGTTTACTATATTTTAGTATAGATGTAATCATTAAATGTTCAATTAAAAATTATATATTATTAATTGTATAGTTATTAGCTGTTAATAATTATATTATATTATTGTGTAGAATCTTGCAGGGGTAGGTATCATTTGTGAAATACAAGGAGGTGTACATTTTGCATTACACAGTTTCTTGAGTTGCTTTATGCATTTAAATTTCAATAATTATTGAAAACATTTATTTTATAAGACTATGGTATTGATTAATTTTTTGTGTATTTTAGCGAACTGTGGACAGTATAATGTAAAATGACACCTCTGGTAGAAAGAATTTAAATTAATATTAGAACAATTTAATAGATCTGTATTATTAAAATTTTAAATCAACACAATTGTTTTAAAAAAATATAGTTCATCCAACTATTTAAATAGGTAGATGTATATTGTGTTTTGATGTCCTGTCAGTCAAAATCAATAAAATTTAAGCTAAATATTATTTATAATTCAATCCATGAATCTTAGCCCTGTGTATACATCTAGACCAAACAGATTATATATTGTATTGCATTTGTTGATGCATTTCTTGGAAAAATTTAACTTTTGTAACACCAATATTATTATTATATAGTTTTGAATATTATTGTCGTTTTTCGATAATTTATACTATTGTAATTTTTTATTTGTTATTTTATTTTGTGCTATAGCGTATATAATAATCGCGTTGATATGATGTAACTATTTAAGGCATAAATTATTCGTTTCAGGTAACTATGTATAGCGATGAATTACTATAATATTGTTGTTAACAAAAATCCGTCCTAAATCTCGTTTCGTCGTCAAAAATCCGCCTAATTGCTGCGACGCACGTTTTATTAACATTTTTATTACACGCACATGACTTTACGACGAGACTATATTATTATACCATGACATTATGCAAAAATTATTTTGAATTACTTCCATATTTAAATCACAATCTATTACACTGTTCAAATAATTAGTCACTAGCTTATTAGGCTCGTAACACGAAATTTTCGTATTTTTTCATTTTGTCCTCGTATTTCTGCGCACCTCGATTTATTTTCTTCACGTTATTTTAATATTCTGATCTAACTTATGGATTTTTCTCCTTCCTCGGTTTTTTCGACTATTCGCGACCGCCACGGTCCTAAATCTCCATCCCGACACGGTCTTCCTCATCATCTACGAGTACCTAGTAGGTTCTCGTACTCGATACCCTCTATACTCTTATTAATATCATATATCCGTTTCGGTCTTCCTATTCGTTCCATGTTCATTCGTAAAACCACCTTAATACACAACATATCCTAACTTTGACTCCTCTCTTCTTCAATTCGCCACTGAGTACTGCCATTCTAAACACACAGTTCGAACCCCTACCCATCATCTCATTGACGACGATGGCTATTTACTACATAACATATAAAAAAAAGTCGGGTTATTCGAACTTTACGGTTTTCATTAATTGCCTATGCGTCCAAATCTGATTAGGTAACTGCCGCGGTAGGTATTGCTATTCAATTTGACGTGCGTCAAATTTACAGCGATACCTATAGTTAAAAAAAAAAACCACCTCTCCCCATTATACTGTACCTAAATACCTAATACCGATAATACCCAAGTCTATAATTGAACTTAGATAGATCTCAGATTGTTAGTTTTGTACACGTACCTATAATATATTTTGTTGTTGGTTTGTTATTGTACGTAAAATAATATCTTGTGTTAATATTATTGATACATGTTTTGTTTGTAATACGATAGTATCTATGTTTCGTACAATTATATTAATATGTTTTGTTTTTTATAGATTTTAATAGATGTACCTACATAACCTTTTTATGGTATTATATATAATATTTATTTATTATATATATTAGTTATTATTGTGTTATTAAGTAATTTAAATTTTATTTTTATTTCAATAAAAACTTGTTAGTTGTTTAGTGTTTACAATACTACACCGCTACAAAAAAAAAAAAATGTGCCTTGCGTTTTTATTATATTTCCTGAAAACATTTAATCATTTTCCTATATTATATGCATAATACAACGAAAATTTAAATTTTTAAAAAAATACTAGTACATGTAGGTACTCGGTTTCAGAAACTGGATATAGATTTAAAATGTACGATTTTTATCAAAATCGAAAATTTTCAAACCCTAAAAAACAGGTAGGTAACAAAAAAAAAATCTTGGATAACTCGATTTTTAATATTTCTGTAATAAGAAGCAATTGTCCACTTATTAATACCCTTGTTTCGAATTTTCGATCCAATATGTCTACAAAAGTAAATGAAATGTTATCCTCAATAATTAAAAAATGTTTCAGCCTCTGTTCTAAGGTATCTATCAGGGTGTTCCTTAATTACAAAAGAAGAAAAAAAAATTGAGGAATATCCGTTACAATATTATATTCTCTAATCTCAAATAATATTATACATTATTGTCGTAACAGCCATAGTGAAACGTTACATTTTGTTACACAAGATATTTATACCATCAAACATTTGCTCCAAAAAATATCTATCATGATATAATGTATATCTTGACATTTTATCAGTTATATTTTAGCTTCTGAGTTGAGCGAAGAATGATTTATGGTTTTATGGTTTTACAATGATGTTTTTTTTTTCTGTGGACAACTTATCTACCAGAAATCTTTACCTTATCGCTCCAATTACAGTGATAGCACTTTTTCTAAAAGGAAATCGGACTGGGAAGATACTTTAGACAGGTAATTTTTTAATTTTCCTAGGAGTTCCCAATGAATGGGAAAAAGGTAAAATAGGTACAATATTAAACAAATATTATTAAAGAAAATATATAATGCCTATGTAATTATTTACCATAATATATCATATATGTATATTGTATATTGTTGACTGAAATTCGCTTAGAATCGGATTTTCGTTAGCAATGGTTTATCGCTGCTTACAAATATACATTCAATTTCTCCTCTACTACCTTCCCAACTTCTGACTTACAAGAGTGGCCCACCTACGTGGAAAGTTGCTCAGATTATGGCCATTGTGTAGATACAAATTATACAATAATGTGTATATTATGTAGGTTATGCTCATCTGTAGCAACTATAATATTTATTAAAATATATATGCATAGGCATAGCCAATAGGGAGTGGACACGGGCCCCTTGTGCCTCACCCCTATAAATACACCACTTTTTTACCACTTAGTAGTAAGTATGACTTATAATAAATAAACTATGATTTTCAAGCATTTCTATATAGTCTAACAATTGTATTTACAGAATACCTACCAAATAAAAAAAAAAGACTTTCTTACTCATCGACTAAATTAAAAATACAACAAAGGTTTTTTGGTGTTTTTATATTGGAGCAATATTTCTTGTAAAAAACAAAGCGTATAAATTTATGATAATATAAAATCGTAACGCCGTTAATTTGTTGGTTTACATTTTACGTTTTTTTTTTCAATTATTATGAAAACTACTTTCCGCGTCTAAACAAAATAAATATAAGTTGTATGTTAATATGTTAAGTCTCTATGAATATTGTTACCTGAATTACAACGAAAAAACAAAATCGAAAGCAATAAAAACATTATTTTCGTAAAATTTGCCGTTTTTTCTACGTATTTTTCGGTTTTGCTTTATTATTAAAAAAACTATAAAGCAAATCAAAAAATTACTTTTTTAGTCACCAACTAGATTAAAAATTCAATAAAATAGATCTCTTTATGTTTTTTATGTGGAATAGTTATGATAAAAAACTTAAAATAATAAAATTATCATGCTGTAATTTGAAAAAAAAACGTATATTTTATCATTTTTTAGGTTTTCTCAATTATTATGAAAAATACTTTAGATATCAAAAAACGACCTTCTCTAGCAGTGGCTATGTGTTAAGAGAAACCAAATCGATTTCGTGTCGTTTTTAAATTTAAGTAATATTTCTGGTAGAAAACTTAAGCATAACACAATGAAAACAATAACACCGCGACGCACTGTAAATATTTGCCATTTTACCTATACCTAATTTTCTTTTGGGTTTTCCTAATTTTTTCACTAACCCCTTGGAAAATCAAAAAATTACCTCCTTAAATCGTTAACGAGAAAAATACCTTTCAGTAAAAGTGCTATAGTTTGTGCTTCGGAGCAGTGGCGTACGCATGATTTTTCAATTGGGAAGAAGCTTGGAATTTGCAAATTAATCAGTTGTTTTATCACAAGCTCAAAATCTAAAATAGGTCAGTATAGGTATATTTTTAGTTCTGACTGAAAATAAACATAAAATATACATAAAAAAATGAAAAGAAAAATTTTAATTTTTAGGTAACTATAAAAATCTTAGGTAGTAAAATAAAATTTTTAAGCTAGTAGAATATTAAAAAAGCCAGAAATCAACCAAAATTAGAATTTTATGAATTGTAAACTGCATTACTTACCATTTTAGATTCTGAGTAGACTGAAGAAGCTAATGGTTATACGAAGATGTTCATAATTTTTTTTTTTTTTTCTGAGAACAACTTTTCTACCAGAATCTTGCTCCGATTTTCAATAGCACTTTTTCTAAAAGGAAATCTGATTGGGGAGGTACTTTAAGGAGGTAATTTTTTGATTTTCTCCAGGAGTTTTTACAATAAATAGGAAAATAAGTACAATATTAAACAAATATTTAACTTTGACATAAATATTGTTGACAAAGCAACACTATTAACTGAACTCCGCTCAAAATGGTTTTTTCGTTAGCAATAGTTTATCATTACTTACAGATATACATTAAATTTTCCCTCTACTATATCTACCTTCCTAACTTCTCACCTACAACAGTGACTGCATCCATATGCAAAGTTGTTCAGCTTTTTTTTTTTCAAATTAAAAATCGAAAAACTTCGATTTTTTTCTGTCATAATGAACAGTTAAATAGTTAAGTATTTTAGTTTGCAAAACTACGAGTTACGTTTTATATGAAAAACCTAAGTTTACATAATACTACCTTCTTCTTTGACACTCAAGAGAAATAAGTGAAAACAAATTACCTATCTACATAATTGTTTTTCCCTAATTAAATGTTATATTATTATTATCTACAACATCCGGGGGCTAACCTAACAATGCCTAATTGTTCGTTGTTGGTAACATCAGTAAGTTCATTATTACAATCATAGATATTATCTAAGCAGATGTGTGACAACCCACATATGCACAAACAGTAGCGCACACCTATGTTTTAAAAACCCTTCTAAATTTCTCATCAACCACCCAACGAAAATAGTAAAGCATAAAAATACAAAATTAAATTTAAGTTGGTATGGCAATTTCTTTTTCCTGTCACCAAGAGCAACATTTCAATAACTGTATGATCAACTAACATTGGTTATTTTAAGCTACAATGGTTTATCGTTGCTTTCAGATACGAATTATTTTCCCCTTTATATCCTAACTTGCCAAATTCTCACCAACAGTGGCTGCAATTATCGTGCAAAATATGTCAGTCTTTTTTAATTGTGTAGTAAACAGTAATCAAAAATAATAATAACGAAGATTTCACAAATCAGAATTAATTCATAATTGCATTATGTAGATGTTGGTATACCTATGTTAACTCACCATCAAATGGATTTTCTTGTACTATTGTACGTCTAAGTTCATTCACATTTATTAGTTAATTAATTACTAGGGATATTATTTTGAATTATATTCAACCCTATTACAATATCATTGATTATAAATACTAGTATAATAATATTATTTATAATCACGTCTATACTAATTAAATAATAATATTATAATTTATGGAAGCATGGAAGTATACGAGCATACAGTTACACAGAGACACGATTAAATTAATTAAAATTATGTTAACTGTACCATTTTCATTGTGTACAGTTCAGCGTTCTTTTTTTGCTTTTTGACGTTTAAAAACATTCTTAAGGTAAACAATGACACAAATACGACTTAACGATATAGCGATATTTTATGTACATAAAGAAAAAAAATAAACATTGATGAGATTGTTAACAAATTTATTAATACGAACAAAGTGAGACAAACTTCGTTTGAGATATGTTGAAAAATAAAGAATGATGGAGGGGATATTAAATTTGTCAAAAAAAGGTGATTTGTATTTTTATCATGAACCAGTAATTATTTTGGACGTTTTTAAGTGAATGTAATTTATATATTTTTTAATCTTTGTATAATTGTTAAAGGCTTTATTTTAAAACCATTTTTAATTTTTTTCCTATACTCGCTAAATTGTGTATCTATTTTTAAACGATAATTGATAACTCTTCCCTACTCCTCAGGTCTAAACTTTAAACAGTTATGACTAAAGACCGGATTTAATTGATATTGCAACTTTTTTTGCAATAAAGATAAATCAGATCTAATTAAATATATAGCCGATATATACTAAAAAGATTCTGCCTATTTAATTTTATAATACAATTTTTTGCAATTTTCCAATGTTTTTGAATCATAGGCGTTCATTGTTCGTCAGGAATTTTCTAGAAGCTTGGAGAGCCCAGCGAGCAATAAGCGTCTACATATATATATATATGGAGTAGTAAATAAATTCAACATAGTAGTAGAGCGATTCGCGTGCTTTTAACTGTTGGTACCTTAGTACATATTTCTTTGATCAGTCTGCCGCACAGTGAACGTATTCGACGTAATGCCTAAAATAAAATCAACTTTAGAAAGTTAAATTTCAAATTGGATTGCTCCTTACAATAAAAATAAAGAAGTATTTTCATCAGACGGAAAGGTTATATATTGTCTTGTATGCAACAAATCTGTCTACTGAAAATAAATATCTATTAGATCATCATTATAAAACAAGTAAGTTTTGTATTTTATACTCATATAATATATACTCATAATATAATACATATTATTTCAAAAATACATGTATATTTTTGTTAGTTCAGCACATAAATGCATTACAAAGGAACAAAGAAAAAAAACAGCTTTTGATCACTTCTCAAAATTCGAACAGTAAAAATGTATTTTTTGAAAATTTATCTAATGCAAATATTTCTTTGCATAAGCTGGGCAATCATGTGTTAAAATCATTTTTGAAAAAACATACTCGCAAATCAATTCCGGACGAAAGCACTTTAAGAAAAAATTACATGCCAAATATTTAAAAAAGCATTATGGAACAAATAATGGAAATAATTACTTCTACATAATTGTTAACAAAACAACCAATCCAAGAGGTTTGTATTTTTAATATTTTTTTTAATTTTTCATGTAATAAAATATACTATGTTCGTTTAGGTTTGATTATTAAAAATATATTAGTTGGTAAATCAGATGGTACACTTGATAAATCATATTTAGTTACATGTAATGAACTAGAATCCACCAATTATGAAACTAATTGTCAGTTTATTAATTCCTCGTTAAAAATATTTCCTGGTATTGAACAAAAAGTATTACTTTTTATTATCGATGCTAGTACTTATATAATCAAAGCAACAAAAACATTAAAAATATTTTTCCTAAAATTAATTCATATTACATGTATGGCACACATAGTTCTAGAGAAAATTTGATAGTTGTATTCCGACATTAATAAATAGATTAACAATGATAATATATCAAGTACCTATTTAAAATTTAAATACATATGCAACTTATTTCGATAATTTCAGGAAAAAAAAGTTTAAGAATAAATAAATCCAGAAAAGAAATGCCTGATATACCTTTACCACCCGAACCTATTATTACAAGATGGGGAACATGGTTAAATACTGCACTTTTCTATGCAAATAATTTTTTAGAGTATAAAAACATAGTTGAAAGTTTAATGGATGATACTACAAGTATCAAAAATCTGAAATAGCCTGTACAAAATAATGCAGTCAAATGTCGTTTAGTGTTCATAAAATTACACTTATCTGAGTTATCCATGAATCTTAAAAATTTGGAAGAATCTAATAGTGAACTACTGAAAAGCATTGATTTTAACAAATATACTACATATTATTTCAAAAATACATGAAAAAAAAATTAACATTTATCTAATTTTTTTACATAACTTGAATTTTTACGTATTTTTTTATGCAATTATATAATTTTAGTATGCAATTTTTGTGTTTTAAATACAATTAAATCTGGTCTTTAGTTATAAATCATAAATGGTAAATGTGATATTAGTGTTATACATATCAAAATTTCTAGAAAAATATACTCTATATAAATGTGTTCAAAAAGGGGACAGTAGGGGGGTACGCATTTGAAAAACAAAAGTATATTTTTATTTAAGGTATACGAAGTGAGTTAAAAAATTAAAAACGGTTTTAAAATAAAGCTTAACAGACTAAGATTCAAAAATAGAAAAATCAAATTCACTTAAAATCTTCAGAGATAACTACTGGTACATATTGCTTACATTTATATAACGATTAAAAATAATAATCTTAATTTAATATTTTGATGTATTACAGTTGACTTTCTTCATAATTTGTAAACTTGAAAATATTTGTTCATATGTTACCTGTGACCCCAAACAGCAATATTGAAGTACATTTTTTCACAATGTCATATTTAAGATCTTTTTGTGTAAAATATTATTTCAAAAATATCAGGTTAGAGACATTGTAATGAAAAGAATTGCAGATTTGACTTAAGTTGTCATCAATGGCTAAAATGAATGATTCAATTACAAGTGTGATGTACATAATTTAAACCAATGAGCAGCTCTGTAAACATTTTAATAAAAAATCAAATACTTAATAGTAATATGTATTCAATATGTATTATATTCAACCCATTCAAGGGAATAGTAAAAACCCAACAATGATAAAATAAAATAGCGTAATAATATACTAAAGATCCTCAAATTAAGTGCTAAAAAATATGATGTACTATAGTTGTAGTACAAAAATAAAAAAATAGATGTATATAAAAACTATATAAGTATTAAATATAACGTAATGATATAAATGGACTATAGTGAAGCACACAATATAACATTAATAACATTTTAATTTAATATAACAGTAATAATTATTTAATTGTTTTTGGAATGTACATTAAACATGCACTCCACAATGGCAGTGGTTAAATTTTTTGCAGAAAAATCCTAGACACATTCATTTTGTGATATATGGTCAGATTTTTACCAAACAGCAAATATTCAAGCTATTGAATGTAGCACATCATATCTGCAATTAAAAAATACAATTATTTTTTATTTGTTAAATTATTACACAACAATTATTATACCTGAACTGAACTATGTCTTACAAACTATCATGACAATGTTGGTGATGTCACATTGACAATTGATTGTTGCAGCACTTGGTCTTCTGGAGGTATCTTGTTGATATCATCTGTTGGCAATTTTTCTAAATCAGGGCTGTCACTATCTTGAAAATTCAATTCTTCTATGCATTCACCTTCTTGTTTTGATTCTTCAACCATAACACTAGTCTGCACTATCTGAGGTTCTAATAATGAGCGTCGGTTATTGTGTTCACGTCCAATACGGTGTGAAAGTGCTCGCAGGCGATCCTGTTTCATTTAATAAACCAAACAAAACCCATTAAATACACCAATAAATAAACAAAAAAATTAAATTATATAATTATGTTATTAATGGGTATAGTAAATAAATATATAAATAAAAAATTAATTAATTAATTAATGCGCCTTGAGTATTATGATACGTGTATACACTTATATAGTATTTATATAGAGTATATTATCAGGTATACCGGATGATGAATTGTTAATTTGAAACCAGTCATATAATACACTTATCATTAATAATTAATTTTTTTTTTATACATTACATACATTTTTTAGTTATACATTAATTTACGAGTATTAACCATTTTAATGATTTTATTTTTACTTAATTATTTACTAATGAGGTTAACTTCTATACAAACATTACAATTTAAATTTTAAAATTAAATTTCATGTAAAAATAAGTAGAAGTATTATGCTATTTGTGTCCTGTATGATAATATGAAATCTATTTTGTTTAATACAACAAAGTGAAAAGATCAATACAAATACACTATTATAATGATGGTTAATTATATATAAAAATGTATTAATGAACACACAATATGTTTAATTAATTTGATAACTTTATATTGTTAGTAGAGAATAATGAATATATTTAGAAACATATTACTTAGTTTTCAATATTTAGAATTATTTGTTTTAACAATTTTTTTGTTTCGTTTAAGACTAAGTTTAAACTTTGATATTCATTTAGAACAAATATATATGTAATTTAAAAGAATTAATTTAAAAAATGTATGAATAATATAATAATAATTAATAATAATGTATGTAGAATAAAACATAGATATAAGTAATAACAGATAAGTTAACTGTGCATAATTTAGTGGAATTTACATAGTATTTCTAGTTTGTTAATCTCACTAGTTAGTAGTTAATGTTTATTGTACCTGTGTAGACTCCAGTATGTTACCAACAACTGCTATCTTGGCACGAGCACAACTCAATCTGTTTGCGTGCCCATCCAATAAGACACACGTGTCCATAGCTACCTTATTTAAAATAGCTGTAGGTGATGTTTTATTGTCAGAAGCAACAGGCGATTGAGGTGAAGGAATTGATGCAGTAGTAAGCAGATAGTCGTTTTGTGCCAATGACAAGCTTTTCAGTTCAGCTGCTAACGAGTCAAGTTGTACTTTCAAGTCGAGTTGGCTTAATCTTATGCCAAATAAGCATGCATGGAAAAAACAATTATATGGATCAGAAAAATAATTTAGTATCAATAATGTCATTATAATTATTTAGGTAGAATCAATGCAATAAATAATAATATTAACAATACAAAAGTTACCGGGTTGACTGAACAGAAGCATCCAATCTATCGACACACGGTCTGAGCAAACGGGCTACTAGACCATCTGCCAAAGTGTCACGTGTTGCTTCAACTGTGGCTGCCGCATCATCGAGATCTTCGTCATCTGGTGGATAATTCACTACCGAACTACTGTTATTCAACAGAGTGTTTTGGGCAACTTCCGCTACATCAGACTGGCCAATCACGATCCCGGCTGAGGTACTTGCCGAATTGTCGTCATCCATGATTGACCAAGGAAGACAGTAGCGAAATACTTAAGTATAATTAACCTTTCAGTTTTTCTGTCGGCTACATTAATTGAAAATATTATTATGAGGTATTATTAAATGTGTACTTACGCAGTTAAGCATAATATTTTATATTTTAAATTATACTCACGGTATTATATAACTCCGAAAAATAACAACAGATGCGTATTAGTGTAACTATTCCAACACACAATAGTTTTTATCCACAACTAATTTACTTTATCTGAGTCCGGGCCCACCTACTAAAGTACTAAGTTTACTGTCTACACTATAGAAAAAAAAAATATACATTTAAATAAATGTTTGATAAAAAAAAAAAAAACCAGTGGTTCCCAAAAAAAAAAAAAGATAGGCGACTAATCATAAATTTTTGATTGTCAACAATTTTACGTTTTTCGTTGATAAGATAAGAATTAAACATTTCCAAAATACCAGTATTGTCGGATTTCTGTAAAGCATTTATTTACTTTGCATTTTTGTAAAATTTAGTTTCTAAGTAAAAGAAAGTTTCAAATAACAATGATCATTCCAGTAAGGTGTTTTACCTGTGGCAAAGTTATTGCCAACAAGTGGGAATCTTACCTGGGCTTATTACAAGCTGAATACACAGAAGGGTAAGTCGTATTATTATAATAAGTATCATCAAATAATCAATTCTTAAATTTGTATTCTGTTACATGACCACTGGTGTAACTATGTATCAATGCTTAGCTACACATTACTTGGTCAAATAAATAATTAACAAAAGGGCCTCTTTATATTGTTGTTCTGAGACATGTGATCCACAAAACTCAATAAGTCCTATTAAAAAAAAATAATCATGTTAGATTTAAATCTTTAGCAGCTAAATTAAGAGGACGCCACACTTGCATCTACTGTCTAAGTCTTAATTTTGATTTTTGAGTAAAAGTACTCATTATGAAATTTATAGAAAACAAAATTTAGAGAGAATTTCATGTTTTTTGACCTATGGACTATGTATTAAAAATGTTACTTATTTAAAAAACTAAAAAAAAGTCTATGTCTTTTATATCAAGCTGTATATTTAGAATACAAAAACTCGATAAGGTTCCCTTCAAAATACTCTTCTATATATATTTCTTAACTGGACTTTTACTATAAAATTAAATTTAAACTAATTTTACTTAGGTAGTCTGTGTAAGCATTGTTTGTATATATTACAATAGTTGGACTGAGACAGTAGATGCAGTTTGTGGCAACCTCTTAAACAAATAAACGTATTAGCCCTATGTCAGCTATAAATTCATACCTAAAATGCATTAATGGGCTGTTCTTATATCAATATAATTTAAATATAAAGAATTTATTTCATAAATTTTCACTTGCTTGAAATTGACATGTTACACATTGTACAGAATAATTGAATTATATTACCTAGATTTTGTTTTAAGCTTTGTGGCAATTTATACATTTTGTTTTGATATTTATCTGTTCAAAATGTACATATAAAGTCTTGTAACTATTTTTATTTTTCATCTTATTTATTCTGATTTTCATTATTTTCTAATTTTAATTTTTTTTTGAAATATTGAAAAATTAAAGCAAGCATAATATTCAAGTGATTACTGTCCCACCGGTCAGGTTATTACTGTCATTTTCTTCAATTTGGATCCCAAATTGTCTTCTTTTCAATTCAATATAATATTATTATGTAATTTGGTGCTCATTAACAATGTCCTACATAAAATAGTTGTAATGTCCTAAAAGTATGTTCATGAACATAAAAATATTAAATATACAAACAATAAGACTTATAATTTAGATAATTTGGTTATTATAATATGGAAAAATATTGTTGGTTATTTAGTTATTATAATTAGTACCTATAATGGTAACTTTTACATTTTAATATTACTTTAACTTTACTGAGTTTACTTTACATGGTTATTTTAATGTTTGGATATAATTATTATATTTAATCATATTTATGATTTGTATTATTTTGCTTTCAGGGATGCTTTAGATGCTTTGGGATTAAAACGATACTGTTGTAGACGGATGTTACTCGGGCATGTTGACTTAATCGAAAAGTTACTTAATTACGCTCCTTTGGAAAAATGAATAAAAAAACTAATTAAATTAAATGAATAATAAAATGTATTTTGTTGTGTATTTAAATTTTTTTTTTTTCTATTTAGAAAATCTCTTTAAATTCCATGTAAAATTAAAGTAATAAAGAATTGACTAAATGATCATGTTTATCTCCTTTTATCATTACCTTTACAAATATTTTTATACTAATTAAGGGGTTTTAAGATTATTTATTACCTTTTAATAACCTTACAAATAAGACTTCCATAATATACTGTCTGATACCTATTTAAGGGGTAAGGCTATTTTATGGATGAATATTTTACACTAATAAGCTGAAAAAAATTTTTAAAAACATGTCTTTTTAGAAGTATTTATTTTGGTTTTTAAATTTAGTTAAAGTAGTGATAAGTTTACCTTATTTTTGTTTCTTAAAATAAACTTGTACCTAAAAGTTACAAAAACAATAAATAAATATATGTATATATATATATATTACAGAACATGAACTAGTTTACCAAATCAAATCACTTTTCAAAATGGAATTTTTTCTATTGACATATGTTTATTTTATTTTGTCTTATTAGTCAAAATGTATGAAAACAAATCTTTATCAACTAACTGAAGTAATAATAATTTAATTAATTTATGTATTAGAAGAATTAGTATTAATTAATAAATAAATAATTACATTACAGATCAGATGTTACACTCAACTTAAAATTAACTTTTTTTATTTACTTAAAAACTAACATTTGAAAGTATTTTAAATAACTTGAAAAGAGCCAAAATATCTTGAAAGCTATAACTTGTCTAGAAAATCTAATGGATAACCATTTTAATTCTATAAGTATTTGGTGGAAATGTTAACTTTAGAGTTATTTTTTGCTACATTACAACCAAATATCTGCAGACTATTATCAAATAAAAAAAAATGCCTAATGTGTGTTATTATAGGTGATAAGTTGATAAGGAAGATTCATAATTTAATTTGTAAATGATAAACCATTGCTAATGAAAAACTATTTTAAGCGAAGTTTGTTTATACATAATTTGAAAGTGTAATATTCATAATTTTTTATCGAAATTTGATCTTAAAACCATTATATACAAAAAAAATTACCCCATTACACTCTAATTTGTTTTACCACTAAGTACAACCAATAATTAATCTTCTGTTTAATTTCCAAGACTTTCTGTTTGGTTAAACAATTAAATTCACATAATACCTATGTGCTCAGTAAAGACTAAGTAGATAAAAAACTTCCAAAAAAAAAAAAGATCTCCAGACATTTTTCGAATAAAGTAAAATTTCTGATGGAAAACAGTTTACACAAATTGAAAATAATGAAATTGGTTATAATATTTGCCATTTTACCTATAATTTTCTTTCCAGTTTTTCCCAATTACTTTGAAAACCCATTGGAAAATCAAAAAATGACCTCTGCAATGCACAAACTAGATAAAATTTCCTTTCAAAAAAGATACTGCACTCAGGACACTCTAATGATTTATGATAATATGTAGGCAAGACTTAATTATACCGTCTTTGTAATTTGTTCAATCTTCTTTCAAATAATTAGGAGAAATATAAACTCAGTATTAAATATGCAAATCCTTTATCTAGCAATACCGAAAAATTATTGCACTACTAATTTCAATGAAACAAGATTTTAAGATGAAGAAACAGGTAGGTTTAATATATTAATTTAAATTATTTTTCTTTATGAGATTTAAAAAAATAATAATAATTGAAACTTTAGCCATTTTGATTAATAATATAAACTACAGAAGATATTTTAATCAACAGAATGTCTAAAAAAATATTTTTAAAAAAGACGTCCTAGTATAATGAGGGCAGGTGTAGCCACTGTTATAGATAATTTAATGTATATGTGTAAACAACAATAAGCCATACTTATGAAAAAACGATTTTGAGTGGAGTTCAGTTGATAGATTTGTCAACATTAAATATATCATTTTATAGTAAAAAAAAAAATTAAATAGGCTTTAAATATTTTCTTTAATATTGTACTGATTTTCTTAATTTTCCTACGTTTTTCCCATGTTTTATTCAGGTTTTTCAATTTTGATGAGAAATTCGAAAAAAGTACGTCTTTAAAATAACAAAATATTTGCCTATGTACAAAATATATATTTTTTAAAATGTTTTAAAAAAAATAATTCTTTATTTCGAATATAATGTATTATATATTTGTTTTTAAAGTGATACCTATTGTTTAGAAGAGATGGGTCATCTATTTTATTATTAAGTTTTAATAAGAAAGTAAATGATTGTTTTTTCTGTCTTTTAATGGTTTCAAATTTAAAAAGTTAGGGAATGTATTCATTAGATAACATCAATAAAACATATTGTTTTGGATTGTTTCTATTCTATTTTATTTTATTTTACTACATAATAATTAAATATAAATTAATTGTAATACCTATGTATTAAAATGTAATACTATATTATAGTAATTGTGAAAACTATTAAATCCAATTATAAAGTACAAAATATTGGATTTTAGTAATTACCAAAAGTCCGAACTGTCGTGCTGCACGTTTGATTCGTTTGTAGGTTCGAAGTGAAACAAATATTCAACTTATAGTAAGTTATAGCAATAATTTGTAGGAAAAAGTGTCCAAATAATATTGAAAACGAATTATTTGTAGATAATTGATGAGATAATATTTGCTACAAGCGACGACCAGACAATACATGTTGCATGCAATAGATTACTCATTAGATATTGCATTGTGTAATAAATACTTATAAAAGAAAAAATAAAAGAGGTCTAACTTATGAGTAAGTTTTTTTCAGTTTGGCGGCCACACGGGTTTTCCAATGTAGAAAATCACAATAATTATTTTTAATTCCAAGTTTAAATTATCAAACAAAATAATAAATAAATAAAGAACAAAATTAAACATAAGTTAATTTGATATAACTTTGAGTATCGCCAGCCCTACTTGGAGCATATCTACACACGAAAAGCATGTTTGTATCACATTGAACGAATCATGTCGCTTTATAACAGACTGTTTAAATAACACACCACTCGGATAGATCTTTGCCCTTGCAGGTATTGCACCTCCTGACATCCGCCGGGGAGTCAAAGCTGACTGGGAAAGAACGAAATAAAAATACGATAAGTTACATCCAATGTTTGGAATAAGCCCACCGACCACTCGTATGAAATCAAGGAAGAGTTTCCTACGTGTATACAAATATTGGAAAGAAATCAGAACCAAGAAAGAATCGACAGATGGAAACTTTCTTCAGACAAGGAGACTAAGAAGTCGATGGTACCGGCCGAACACCTACCTGCAGGGAATAATTTAGAGTGGCCTGTGTGGAGATGCATATTGTGATTGTGGACAGACTCGGACCATTTCCCACCTAATAAACTGCCCAAGCTGCTCAACTTCTTGCATAATGGACGATATCATGTCAGTGACTAAGGGAGATATTGAAGTTGCCAAGTTTTGGCAAGAAAGAATTCGACACACAATTCCCAATATCATTATACGTTAACAAACTAAACTGACACCAAATTAACTATTTATTATTTTATTAATTAATTTATTTATTCACGTTTAGTTATTTTATGTTACCGACTCATATCTGTTAATGTTAGTCTATTAATTTTAGTTTATCATATTTATATATGTGGTTACTTGACACGAGATAATAATAATTGTACAAAAAATGTATCTTATCTAAAGATGTATACTTTTTTTATATAATATTATGTACAATGTAAAAACTAATATTTTTAGTCACAGAAAGCGTTCGTAAAATAATTTGCAATAATTGACGATGTTTCTAGGATAGGTATAATTATTTAATAAAGTACGTTTTTTTATAATATATGCGAAAGGTACAATGTTAAAAATAAATATTACAATATTATAAAAATGCCGCCTCTTTAAAAAAGGCCTCGCCACGCTCTGATTCTAAAATGTACTCAAATATTGTTGTGTGACACTGTTGCAACCACAGACTAGAACTAGCTATATGCGATAGGTACTCTTAAAGAAGTTAGCGGAACTTATAACATTCAGTCATACGTGGAGAAATTATATGTAGGTATGATATGTATACCATCAGTCTTCTAAAAATCAGAATGAACTTAATATTTTGGCTGCTTCATTGAAATCCAATTTACCGGTAATATTTTCCCTGTAAAGGATCTTATCGTCTTGATTACACAGAAGAAAAAGATCTGCTTGAGAAAAATGTTGCCCTAAAACAAAAAATACAAAATTAATCACAGTTACAAACAGTTGTGGGATTTTATTTAAAATTAATTAGCCTAACTACCAAGTTGAACAACAATGTTCAACAATGAATTTAAATGATATGGCATTTTTAATTAATTTATAAATTATAGCTTGTGATGAAGTAACACAATCATTTGATTTAGTCAATTCTTCTAAACAATCAATAATAGCACCATATTTGTCATGTATAACTTTGTAACTCTGTCATGTGAAGTCCAACAAATAGAAGAGTAATGCTTTAATCTTTGAGATACTTGTCCAGGATACAATGGTTTTTGGTGATCAACAAAATAAGCTGAACATTTCCTTGCTCCAAAGTATCCAACTAGTAATTGAATTTGTCAAAAAAATGTCTGGTCTCAACACATGAATCACACATATCAACTATACCCAAATTTATAACATGTAAAAAACACCAAATATATTTAGCATGTGGACATTGTTCTTATATAAGTGTCCTTAATCCAGAATACTGTCCTAACATATTTGCAGCTCCGCCTCATGCTTGAGCATATATAAATGATTTTTCCAATCTAATCCATGTTTTTCACATATCCTACATATTTCTAATGCAATAAGTCTTTCTTCAACAAGGTATTGTTACCTTCAATACCTTCATCATTAATATACCTTGCAACGAAACTAAACTGCACTAGATTCAAAAAATCTATAGTTGTATCTCTTATATTATATAATTTCAATTTTATTAGTTTATTTTTTTTATAATTAAATAATAATTTACCTACTTAAATTTTTGAATGAAAATCCATACTTTTGCGACCTGGTATTATATTTGGAGTGGCAAGTGTGACCCTCCCCAATTATGCCATTGCTATTATGCTATATAAAAATATAGCTGACTTTAAAATTGTGCCTAGTTTTTTATATTGGTTGGTAAAAAGTTGCAAGACATAATATAAAATACTTCAAGGTTTATACACATGATTAAATCAAAAATTATTTACAGAAATATAATGATCCTAAGCCATAGGTACTAAATCATAGGTCATTTAGCTATTGTTTGCAATAAAACCATAAATATTGTTGAGCCAATTATTAATTAATTTTAGTAAAAATGTTAACACTAGTGAATATGATTTATTTTCAATTAATATTACTAATTATGTTAAATTGTTAACCCATAAATTGTTAAAAGTCAAAATGTATACCTTAAAGTATGTAAAAAGTACAAATAATCTAACAATCTTAGTGCTGATAGTTTATCAAGATTATCTTTAAAGGATGGAATAAATTAAATTATTGATTATGTTAGATGGGAAACAAACATTTGTATACAGTGGGTTGAAAAATGTATACCAGTAGACTGATAAAATCAGAGCAGAAAATAAAGGCCCAGTACTGTGTAATGTCTATACACAAATAAATAATGATTAAAATGATTATACTAAAGAGTTTAAACCTTATTATGATAGGTTAAGACAAGTAAGTATAGATTATAGACTAATAATTATGTATGGGTGTAATAATGTGTTATTTGTAAATGGGATTTGCATTTGTTAAGTTAAGAATATTTTGTTATTATTATTAGAGTTATACCTGAATTTACTGTCTCAATCCAATTATCGGCTAACATACAAAAACAATGCTTAAGCAGAATAAGTAAAACCAGCTTAATTTTATTTTTAGAGTATCTATTATGAAATTTATACAGGACAATATTTAATATTGTGTAGGGAATGTTATAGTTTTTGTAACATTCAAAATATACAGCTCGATATAAAAAAATACAAAAACTTTTTTTTTTTTTTAATAACTAACTATTTTAATAATTCATAATTCAAAAAATAACACCCATAACATTTCCTACGAAATATTGTTCCCTGAAAAATATTCAATAATACTCACTGGCTACAAATCAAAAGGCTGATTTTCATAGTGTCAGTCAGTATACAGTGAACCAGTCAATGTTGCTGGCAAATACTATAATATGACAATTTATTACATGAGACAGTCAATGATAACAGTAGTGATATTCTAAATAAACTTGTGATTATATTTTTATTTCAACAAGTAATTATTCTAATCAAAATGTATACATTTATTTGATTTATAGATATAATATTTTAATACAATTTCTTCATACAAGAGTTGTAAATATCTCAATAGGTTATTTTGTTTTACATATTATATTATTATTATTATTATTTGAACTCTTATAGTTTATTATACTCTATTATATAAATATTTTTATATATTGTTAGCATTAAATACTGTTACATAAGTTATAAACCCATTTTATTTTATTTTTATTTCATACACAGCTATTATCCACATCCTATTCAAGTACAAGCATCTGGTAGAATGATGTATAAGCAACTGTTATTCAATGTAGACCTTCTTAAGGATAGAATAGTATTAAGCATATTTGATGAAAAAGTTAGAGTAGGATTATTAGATGTTGAAAACTTAAAACTGGATAATATGGTAATTGAGGAAAAATAAATAAATTAGACTGATAAATCACACAAGGGAATAATAAATGAATTAACAAATGTAATTAGATCAGAAGCCACAGAATACTAAAATCAGTTAAAAATTAAGTTTTTAATTGTTATGAATATTATACTATAGTTAAATTTACACTGAATGCAGTGTACATTTGTTGATAATTAAGGAAGTGTTAATTATTGTTATGATAATGATACACAACACTGATACTAAACCAGTTTATAACTTGTTATGATGTAACCACACAACCGGATCAAATGTATTTAATAATAATTGTAAGTTAATAAAGAACTTCTTGCCATTAAAACAATCTAGCCTTATTATATATATTTATAATAAGAATAATAAAGTAAAGTAAATGGTGAATACAGAAGAAGCATATCTTTACAATCAATAAAAAAGAAAGAATATCAAATACAAATAATAATTTTATAAAAACAACTCAACTCATGTGGACAACAAAAATATAATAATATTGAAATCTGATTTAAACATGTATTTAATATACTGAAAGAGGTAAACTAAACATTTTCAATAGTTATCCAAGATATGTGGTCTGTACACCCGGTAAACTGATAATTTCTCACCAGGTACTTGGCGAGATAAGATACGACGACATGCGAGGGGTTTCTTTGCAGTACCATCACCAAAAGTTGTCAATAATACATAGTCCTTAGAATTATTTTCGTTAATGACTCCAAAATTATTAACATCTTGTTCACAACGGGCGTTTATTTCTTCTCGTACCAATGCAGCGTAATTGTAGTCAATCATTAAAACATAAAACACTCCTCTCTCTGACAGAAAGTCAGCTGCTTGATGCAAGGCCCTTCATTAAAAAAAAAAAATAAAAATAAAAACAAAAACAAAAATCAAAAGACTAATATGGGTATTATTTTTATATTTTCATATGTAGAAAATCATAAAATATACTTTTTAAGTACTTCCACACCATCAGGGCCACCACCCAACCACGCAGCATCAGCAATCTTCGATTGCAGTTGATTCTCGGTTGAATTTTCTATTGTATCACTTTTAAGTACCATAGGTACTATTGCACATTCACCATTGGGCCCTCGTACGTATGGTGGATTAAATAACAACAAATCGATGAGTCCATATGAATTACCTTGTGAAACATTTTTAATATTAACACAGGTAGATTTCGGGTGGCGCATCCAACTTAACAAATCACCACACACCACATCCACCTAAGCAAGGAATATATAAATGAGTTATATAGACGCTACATAAAACACAAAGTAATTTTATTCGTTTTATCAATAAGTGTACACTATGTTTTTTTTTTAAAAAAAAGATTATGGTGGGATTGTATTATTGAAATAGTTAACTTGGTATTAATCTTATTAATCTATGTTTTTTTTTTTTTTTTTTTTTTTTTTTTGTGCACCTAACTAAAATATTATGAAATGATTTAAAGACAACTTGTGATACTTAATTATTTTCAATAACAGCAAAGATTGGAACAAGTTGACACACCTATCACAAATTCCAATTTATTTTTTTCAAACATGATTCTTGGGTACTGATATTAAAGATTTTTTAATTTTTTTGCAAAAACCATTATTAAAGAAGTATTGGCAAAAAATTGTCTACACAAACATAACCTCATTATGCCATCCAGTCTTCAATGATCTTCATTCATGAGTAAATGTCAGCCTTATAAAACCATAAGACTGACAAATTTTAGATTGATAACTGATCTACTCCAGCATTTTCAACTTGACACTGCTGCAAGAAATATTATAGTTTCTAAAAAATTGTATTGAGTAATATTATTTAAATCAGTGCCTAAAACATATTTAAAAAAAAGAAACAACCAAAACAACTGCATTAATGCTAAAGTTCTAAAGTTTTTAAAGTTTTTTTGATATATTTTAATTGGTTTCTACAAAAAAACTTTGAAGACTTTAAAAATAGGTTGAAAACAGTATTTAACAAAAAATAATTTTGAAGTTTTTGAAACGTGTGATAAAATGTACTTTAACCCCAAGATTTTTCATGTATTTATAATAACAATAACAATAAACCATAAATAGGAGATTAAAAAAATATATTTTATATGTAATTAAACTTTCAACACAGTATCTACTTCATAAATACAATTTAATATGGAATATCTATTTAAAAAAGATAAGTTATCAATGGAGACAAAACATACGGCACATAAAATAGATTTATAATTTTATTCTCGTACCTGGACATTGTTCAGCAAACATGTGTGAGAAGTGGCATGGCATGCTGCTGGATTTATGTCAACTGCTATGCAATGCACTCCAACATCAGTCACACTTGTTAGAATATCCTTCCGAAGTGACTTGGCTACTGCGGCTGACAATAGCCCAGCACCACTTCCCAATTCAACAACCAATAGTGGATCATTTTTAGTGGGCAGATTGCCACTAGAGAAGCTTTGGCAAAGAAGTCGATTACGAACTGTAAGTTCTAGATCTAATTGTAGAGCGTCCAATACCAAAAACGTATCCTCCGCCGGTTCATATACACTGGCAACAGTTGTGTTCAAAAGTTCATTATTGCTTCCACAAGCTATGACAGGACTTGTCAAACTATTGAAGTCCCAATCCTGTTTAAAAAAATCGTTAATAATATGTAACAAAACACAAAAGTCAATTAATATAATAACACGATGCTCGACAATATACTACTTACAGGAGTTTCAATAATCATAACTTCCGAAACTGTGGTTTATATTTTTACAAATGCTTAGTTCATTTCAAGCTATTACGATGTGTCACAAGACTTGGTACATATATACACCAAAAATCGCAACATGAATCATGTTTACTGTACAGTTACAGTAAAGTATAAATGAGAGGTTTGAAAAATAGCATTCGAATACGGTAAAGACAGATGTTCCGCTAGAAATATTTGATAAGAGAGCCCAGTGGTTCTCAAATGAATGTGTGCAATACGACTGACTTTAAAAGCTCTGCCTAAGGGTACAAAGAATATTTAACCTGAATTATTGAGATTGTTTAGATTTTAATAATTTTTAGAATTGTTTAGAATATTTTATAGTGGTTTAATACGTATTGTACTATACTACAGTATTGTAGGTATTTATTTATTTAATCATCAAAACATTTTGTATAAATATTACAATTGTACAAACATACTTAATATACTAATATAATTGTTGATACCAAATCCCTGTAAACTATGCTTGGTGAGATTTGGGAGTCTAATATAATATAACTAATTAGTATTTAATTTACAAATTATGATGATAATACGTCTTATACAAATCGTACATATTGAACATAATATTATGTGATTTACATATTATCATTAAAGAAAACAAAAATTAAATTAATTTAAATAATTGAATACCTAATTATTATATAAGGTGAAAATAGTAGGATTACTATTGGAATAGATTTGCATACAATTTTTTAATTAGGTAATTTAAAATTTCAATTATTATTAATATGTTTAATTTTGTATGGCAGTTGGTTATTAGATATTTATTCCTTTGTATATTATATAAACCATATTAATTAAGGTCTTAGCTTACATAATATAAGTTTACAATAATTGTTCATATTTCATGAGACATAGAATCAAAAAGTTTTTCGAGATCTAAAAGTATACCTAAACATAATTTACCTCTATCTAGTGCACTATAAGTTAAATTTGCTATCAGTATGTTCACAAAATCCGAATTGCATTTCAAAACATTTTTATAGTTGGATTTTTGATAGTCTTTCTAGTAGTTTAAATATTACTGAAACTAATAATATTGTGGGGTCACCTGTTTGGATAGGAGTCACAATTGTTTGTTTATGTATATATATTAGGAAAAGTACTCTTTTGAAAACTTAAGTTTGCTAAACAAGTAACTGGTTTAACTATATATTCCACTATTTGTACTAATAGATCAGATCCATCAAAAACAGGTAATGCACCTTTTCGTAGTTTTTAATTACTTTATTTACTTTGTATTCAATAAAAGGTATAAAATCAAGATTATATCCTTAATGTAAATATTTTGATTAGTTTTATTTATGTTAGTTTATTATATGATATGATACTTTATCTTTTTGTATAAAATTCTGTTATATTGTTATGGAGGTACATTTATAAAGTGATTATTAAACGCATTTGTATATATATCAATTAGTTTATTATAAGAAATGATTTCGGTGTGGGGAGGTACTTTAGGGAGGTAATTTTTCGATTTCTCAAGTTTTTCTCTTTAAATGTGAAAAACCGAAAAAAAAAATAAGAAACAACGAGAAAATGTAAGAAATGTAAGTATTAGTTAAAATATACTATGGCCTTCATTTTTTCTGTGGACAACTTTTCTACAAGCAATTTTGTTCCAATTTATAATGATAGCAATGTTTCTAAAAGGAAATTTGACTGGGAAGATATTTTTAAGATGTCATTTTTCGATTTTATTAGGAATTTTCCAAGAAAATGTGAAAACCCAGGAAAAAACATGAGAAAACCGGGAAAATCGGTACATTAAACAAATATTATTAAAGATAATAATATATAATGCCTATTTATTATGTTATTATTTTAATAACGTATATATTGTTGACAAAGCACCACTGTCAACTTTTTTTCGTTAGCAATTGATATAGCTAACAGATATACATTAAATTATATATAACAGTGATGCAACCTCCTTATTTTCCTAGGACGTTTTTTTTTTCTAAATGATCTTATGTTAATATGGACAATTGTAAAGCCTTCATTATTAATTACTTATGTACAATGCCCGCTACACACTATCATTTTCAACTGTCGTCCTTTGAGTCAACACTCGTTTATTTTTTACTGAAGACAGATATCATTGTTTTATGTCTAGTGTAGTGTAGTGCGTACACACAAGATGTCATCGGACGATGCTTCAGCCGTACTTGGCCTACTATTAATTTTAAAAAAGAATAATAAAACCCAAAATAAACGTTAAGAGTGGTTGAAAAAGAGAAATGTTTATTTCCATGTACAATTATTAAATGAACTAAAAGTTTTTCCTAAGCATTGACACAAGTATCTCAGAAGAAACATATTTCATGATTTCATATGAACTAGTCAACCTTTCTTTTTGGGCAATTTTCGATTTTTCACGAATTCACGGATATATAGGAATGCAAAATACGGATATACGGGTACGAATGCATAGACAACTGCGATACGACTGACGGTTATTACCTACACACGTTCAGTTTAATTACAGTTAAAACTGATAATGTGTAACCATTAAGGGTGTTTACATCTGAAAAAGTATTATTATTAATTTACCTATATTATATAATAATTTAATGACTATTTTTGTGGTACCTATTATAAGTTATCCCAATCTTTTTTGTTCCTGATTTGATAAACTCAGAATTGTCCGTTCTTGTGTACAAGGATATCTAAATTATTTGTCACCATAAATTTAAATCCTTTGTAATTTGCTATTTTTTTCGATTTACCAAATAATACTCTTTTATATTTTGTTAAGTAGCCATTGTATGTCATTATATGTTTATATAATTAATGTAAAAACATTAATTATAATTTAAATGGTTATATATAATAATTGTTGAAAAAAAAATTATATTGTTTTGTTATAGGTGGAGTAAAAATTAAGTTTATAGAAAGGAACAGATAAACATTTAGAAAATGTTGATGATACTTGGCTGGCTAATGTCAAAGAAAAATGAAATTTTTAAGTACAACTTGTATTTATAATTATTACGTGTAATAATAATATTACATATAGTTAAATTAATTAGACATTTTTTTTATATATATATCAATGTGGGTATATCTTAATGGTGTATGTGACAAAGTTCAGCTTTACTATCTCAGAATGTAACACGAGAGTTCACTTAAATTGGTGATGATAGAATTCATTATTATAGTTATTATACATTCAAAATACTTCTTAATTTAGTTGTTGAGATACTTTTGTTTGTAATAATTAATACATTCATAGCTTCTTATATGTATGTTCTACATTTAATAGTTAATTTAATAGAAGTATAGTATTTTTTTTCTTACTGAAATTTCATTTTTTTTTTTTTTTTTTTGGCCCTACTTTATAATTTTGGGCCTCGAATGATTAGCCCTACCTAAAAAAAATACTGCCGCTGAGTAACCAAACCCATTTAATAAAAAAAATAATGTGTTAGGGTTCTGTATATTTTTGAACATCTACTCCTTTAAATCACTTTATTGGTATATTTACATTTATTAATTGGTTAAAAACAATATATTGTTTATATATTGTAACAATAAATTTGTATTTAAATTCAATTCAAGTTGTAAAAATATGTGTTTCAACTATATCTATAGTATTACCTGTAAGACAAGTAGGTAAACATATTTACTTTTATTTTTTTCTGAATTGGATAAATAATTTCTTTAGATGAATTATTTAAAATGTTATTGCTTATAAAAATTAAACTATCATTTTGATTTTGCTCTGGTATGCTATTATTTAGTATGAATGAGACAGCACTTTCTCTAAGTCTAGGTTTTTTCAAACATATCAAGAATATATATTTTAAACCTAAACAATGTAGTTTTAGTACATAAATTATATTATATTAATTAAGTTGTGCTGTATTGAATTATACTTAGTTTTATAATTATATTTTATACAGGCCCTTTCTTATCAGCTTGTAATCTGCAAATTTATCTGTTGACATAAATTCCAAAATTGATAATGTGTAATCTTAATATTACAGCCTTAGATTATAATATTTTGGCGACAACACCAATGAAGGTATAGGTACCTACAAAAATACAACACATGGGTTTTACGTAAAACTAACGGGAAAATCTTTAACAAGATACAATTCATCCATTTTGTATTTCTTTTATTTTATAACTCTTTAACTTTTGATTGTGGAAAACAATTAATTTCAAGTTTCTTTTTAGGAGGAGAATCCAATTTTTCGGCATCATAAATGTAATTGTGTCTTCAGTATTGCATGATACCCATATCATTTTCTAAAATAGGTATACAAAAAAATTAATTAAAATAGTACAATATAACTATTATCAAATCATTTTATGTCAATTAATATATTAATATTTATATAGGTAATTAAATAAAACAAGTGCTTTTAATGGAGTAATCAGATGGAATTCTCTAGACACATGATTAATGAAATGAATTGATATGTTGCATTATTGAGTTACTATGATTTATTTACCAAATATTCATTTTTTAATAATAATAGTGTTAATAAAAATTGTTTGAAAAAACATGACTTAGAATGTATATTTTTAAGTTAATATTTTTGTAACTATTCAGTTTTAGTATATCACAGTCTTCAGATTACTTATAACATTGTTTTTGGTTTAATTACGTAATAATAAAAAGACAAATTTATAAATTTAAATTAAAAATAAAATAAAAACTTTATAAACCACCAAATGCTATAGAAATACAATATACTATACATAAGTCTGTGTAGAAGTATGAAAGTAAAGAATTGACTACGGATTATCACTATTGCAATTATTATTATCTTTAAGTTTATGATAAAAGGTGAACACAATTTTTTTTTATAATTGGTTATATATTTAATATAGGTGATACATAAATTAATTTTGGTACTTAAACTATGCATATGAGGATAATAATAAAATGAAGTCCCTAAATAATAAAATCATTTAACATCAAAATACCCAATTAATAAATATAATAACCCAGGTGTATATAAACTGCATTGTGAATGCAATAAAATATTTGAATGAGGGGGGGTTTTCCCTCAGTGTGGAAAATATGCTCTGTCACTTCAGTGTTCAAGTCTTCTGATTTGTCACTAGTTACCAATTATCATCCTATTTCCATATATCTGCACATTGCTAAAATATTTGAATCCATTATCTACAATAATTTGAGACCCACATTAAACCATATTCTTATTATCTAGTAACATGGTTTCCGTGCAGGGAGAATCACCTCATATGTATCTTTCTACTCAGTTATTTATTTATCTACTCCTAAATTCTTTTGACATTTTTGATTTTTAAAATATTTTTTTGTGGAATTTAAGAACATATAAATACATTCCCCTTTTATTATTTATACTTTTCAGTTTTGCTCATTTAATTGTGTAGTTAATATTTCATTATCTCATTTCAATAGTATTGTTAGTATTAATAATAAACACACATATCAACTATCAACATTTGCAGATTTCCCCACCACCTTAAGTTTGAAAACTATGTGATATTGCAAATGGCGCATTTTCTTTTCCAAGTTGTGTCCCATTATTAGCCTAGTTAACTTATTTAATAATTTGTATATACCTTCTATAATAAAGAACATGTAATTACATATAATAATAAACATGGTTGAAAATATAAAAAACAATACATATTAAAATCGTCAAATTATTAAGTCTAATTTAATATACATAATCAATGGCGAATATAGAAATTATTTTCACTATGAGTCAATCTACCACCAACAAAACCTGAGTTCCCTTAGGTTTTGCGTGGGCTTAAATAGGGGATCTTGTACGTTATTTTGATATCATGTCCGGGATTCAATATGCCCTGGAACACCTCAGCATATCGGTTTGAAAATGTTGTTACTTCCTACTATTTATACCCGGGTAATCGAGCCGTTCAAGGGGTTATCCGGGGCAAAATGCACTTAGCCGACCACACTGTTTTAAAGTATTCTTGTTCATCTTTATTTTGGTGAAAGAAAACGGGATGTCCCGAAATTCCTTCTATTCTTAAATGAGCCTCAAAGTTACACACGTTACTGTCATTTATTTATTGCATAGCCCGTGAAGGGGTTGTTCCGGGACGAAATATGCTTAAGCGACCATACTGTCAAGTTGTCTCCATCTAAATTTTGGTGAAAAAAAAAGGGGTGCTCCGAAATTCCTTTTACTTTTACTGCGATGCATATGTACGAAGTTACTTAAATTTTTTTAAGCGCCTTCAAAATTAATTTAGATCGTCCATTTTTGCACATTTATTGCCTATTTACAGCCTTTATAGCGATTTTTACGCATTTTGGGAACCACTGGGTTATCTTATCAAATATTGCTAGCGGAACATCCGTATTAAAATACATTATTATTTTATAATGCATGAAGATTTTTAACTAGTCTTTCCGTTTATTTTCAATTATAAATTTTATTTTATTATCGCGTTAAGAAATTCACTATTCTTTAATTATGTCTAACGAACAGTATCAAGTTGCAAGAAAAAAAAGAGTCGTATGGACTGATGATCGTGTTCACGAATTATTAAATGTATTTGAAGACAAACAAATAATAAAACACTTGGATGGATCTCGTTATAGAAACGAAGGTGTATTTAGGATGGCTACTGCTGAATTAAACAGAAGACATATTGGAGAAAACAAATTCACAGTACCTGAAGTAATACACAAACTATCAATGTTGTTATTGCAATAGTTAAGTCCAGATTTTAGGATTAAAAAGAAGTTAAACTATGCTTCTATTAATATATAAGGGATGTATACAATTTAGTATATTTGTATACAAATTAAAAAATTGTCTTTGAGGAAACATACTTAATTATTGTGGGATTTTAATAGCTAGTCTTAATAGATAAATAGTAGTCTTAAATTATTTTTTCCTAAATTTGTTGGTGAGGAAAATCAAAACTTAATAATATTTACATTGAACGTATCAAAGAGGTTTTGTCCTCATCAAAAATATTAGCTGACGTCTTGGCCTCCACCGTAAGATATTTAGTCCCTGAAAATTATTATTCATAAGATTTTCGTTTTCGTCCTTTGGTATTTGTGATAGAAATCAAGTAGGTGGCAGTGGTTTTAAATATAAAAAATTGCCATACATTTATTTATTTTTATATATTTATATTTTTTTATTTGTCTTTAATTAATTTATATAAATAATTATATGGTGATTTTAAATGGCAATTAATGTACTTCAATTAGATTTCATTATACATAGTTAATTTTTGATATAAACATAATAATTACCTAAATTGAGCTTAAGTAATTGTCAATTTATTTTGAATGGGACTTTATATTTTTTTATTATTTAAGTTGATTGGTGGTTTAAAATAATACTGGGACCTAATGTTATACAGTCAATATTATAGGGATGAAACATACGTTTATCAATTGAACAGTACCTACTACTATAGGACTTAAGGATTTTATTATACTCAACTAACAATTATTTAGTTTTCTATTCAAAATCTAAGAATAATTGAAAACTTTTAAATTTTTAAAATTTCATAGGTAATTCTACACCTATAAAATACAATATTTATTTATTTCCTTAAAAAAAATCCTGGGTTTCACTGAGGAGTTATGCGGAGGTTGTCTCCAAATCCCCATCTTATTTTATTGTTGGTTCTAATTGTAACGATGAACCTATTGATTTTACTATATATGATTTTTTCCCACATATGTACAACTTTTCTGCCAGAAATCTTGCTCCAATCAAAAGCCAACAAGATAGAATTGTTTCCATTGTATTATATTGTAGAATTTTGTATCTAGTTGGTGCATTGAAGAATTCTTCAATTTTTGATTTTCTATGTTGCTAAAAAATAGTTTTATTATTTTCGATTTCTTTTATTGTAATTTGATTGAAAATAATCGTAGACAATTAAAATGTTCACAGAATACCCCTTAAATTAACACTTTATAAAAGTGGTAAACTTCTTAAAAAATTTTTGTCAGTTTTTAGTTATTTAAAGATATTTAAAATAATAGTTTGATTATTATAATTAGTCTTTTTTTTGGTTTTATGTGAATGACATTGTTTGGCTAAATAAACATGTTGATGAGTTAACATGAGGTTCATTGTAAGTTGTTTCTCTCTGTTCTTTAGTTTTACAATTTTATAAAAATTTCTAATCTTGGTTTCTCTTTAGAACAATTTTGATTTAAAATATTTATGTTACCTGAAATCAACCCTCTCTGTCTTGTGTAAACTACTTATGATTTCGAGACTCTAATATATAGATTTGGTTGACACTATGTGAATATAATTGTTTGACTAAACAAAAATGCTAGAAAATTTAATAGTAGGTTTATTATGAGTAAGTGGTTAAAATAACGGCAAAAAAAAAAAAAAAAAGAGCTGGTACTGGGGATAGGAGCGGCCACTGTTTTAGGTGAGAAGTTAGGAAGGTAGGATACGTAAGGTTATTTCATTTATATCAGTAACGGTAAATCATTGCTTGACAAAAGATGATTCGAAGCGCAGTTTGGTTATACATAATTTGAAGTCTCTACGTGTATTTATAATTGAATTACAACAAAAAACTCCCAAAAATAAAAAATCCTTAAAAGCTCAAAAGTGATTCAAAAGATTTTGGCAATGATACCATAAAAAAGTAAATCAAAAAGGCAAAAAAGGTATCTTGTGATTTTTCGATTAGTCATCTTTTCTGGTAGAAAACGTCGTCTGTGTTTTTATAAAATAATGAAATCGTGAAATTGTACGATTTCCTAAGTTTTTTTCCCACTTAAAAGCTTTTATTTAAAAAATGGTGTTGAAAATCAAAAAATGACCTCTCTAAAGTACAATCTAGACAATTTGAGCTTTCAGAAGAGTTGCAGAAAAATTGGAGCTAGTTTACTAGGTTAAAACGTGTTTACAAACTAGAACAAAGAACAAAAAAGAAATAAACAGCATTGTAAAACCAATAGCTCCCTCGCTCTGCTTGGAATCTAAAAGTAATGAAATGTTGTAATTTTTTTTTATAATGGTTTTAAGGTAAAATTTTGGTAAAAATCTTAAATATGCAACCTTTCAAATTATATGACAAATATCGCTCAAAATTGTTTTTTGATAGAACTGGTTTATCCTTGTTACAGGTACAAATTAAATCATGTATTCTACCTTTCCGAATTCCTACCTATAACAGTGGCATTACTATCATCAGTATCAGCTCTTATTTTTATATTTATTTTATTGTTATAATTATTTAAATTAATGTACATTGTAGATAAGAGTCAAATGGAAATCTTTGAAAAAAATGTTTAAAGATGCAGAAATTAAGAATGGAACCAACAATCACAACAAAGTGACATGCAAATTTTATGACCGTCTTGCTGAACTATTGGGGCAAAGAGCTACATCAAATACCAAAGATAGTGGTTGTGATGATAAAAATAACATTCATGACCTTGAAGAAACCCCCTTAGAAGAAATTTGTACAACTAAAGTAAATGTTTCAACGTGTATGGATTCAATTTGTTCATATTCTGTTGTGGCCAAAGAAAAAAAAACTACCCCAAAATCTAGTGGTAAGTATAAAAAGTGTTGTTAAAGAATCTTGACAAAGATATTTAAAATATTTTTCTGTGGCTTTATCGCTTTTATAATTGGTGGTCTACCTTCCTCCTTCTTCTGATACCTTTTACTTAGCTTATCTTTCATCTGTTGACTACCTCCTTCTGATGCCCTACCACCACCTTCTCTCAAACACAATTAATAAATGTACACCTTGCTCCAGTCCCTCCATACCCATGTCCTATGATTTCTCTCAGGCATCACTGATTTCTTTCCCTTATGGAATTGGGAACTTACTTTCTCTTTCTATGATGCTGATGAGGCCATACATTCCTTTATTCTATATTTTGTACCTCAGGTTATTTATTATCATTCTGTTTTTCTTGTCTGGTTCACTCCCGACCTTAAGAAACTTATCTTTGCAAAATCCAGACCCACTCCACATTTAAATCCTCTAGTTCTCTATCTGATTATCAAACTTTTCCACTTCTTCTTTTAGTCCTTTTGTACCACGGATTATCTAGTTTTAATCCCAATGATGTAGCCACCTTTTCTCTCAATATTTCTCCTCTGTTTATTCCCCCCTCTTTACCAGCTACATTGGATTCGTTCATATTTCACTGATCAGGTACTATCTGTTGCAGTCTTGGGTTCCTCTTAAAATGTATTTTCTCCTTCTTTTGGCATTCCTCAAGGTGTTCTCTCTCCCCTTCTTTTTGCCCTCTTTATTAACTCTGCTTCCACAGTACTTCACGATGTAAATCTTCTTATCTTTGCTGATGATATGAAGCTCTTTTAACAAATCAACTCCTGCTACCTAACTGCCTTCTACTGCAAGCTGCTTTTGACTAGTCACTTGGGGTGAGTCTCATGGCTTTACCTTGAACATCCTGAAATTTTCGGTCATGACCTTCTCTCCTCTCAAATCTTCCTTATCTTTTCCTTACACCATAAATGATATTCCTCTCCCAATTGTCGGAAACTATGATCATGGTTTTTCTCTCACTAAAAACATATCTCCTCACCTTCACATTGAATCTACCTGCTCTAAATCCATTAAGCTCCTTGGCTTTGTTAGCTGTACTGTATTTCTTGGAATTTGCATTTACTTTCCCCATTGAAATATTTATACTGCTCTTTTATTCACCCCATCTTGGGAGAACAGTACTGTTTTTTGGGACTTATATTCCTCTGCATCCAGTGAAATGATCGAACGAGTCCAGAGAAGGTTCCTTCAAATTGTTGCACATAGACTCAAGATCCCTTGCCCCTCATAAGACTACTTATTGGTCTTGCTTGCGCTGGGCCTCCCTCTCTTTGATCATAAGCATCAGACAAATCTTCATTTCCTATCCAAATTCTTATCCAACCAGATTGACTCTCCTTCCTTAGTGAAATAATTTTCTGTGTTCCCCCCACATCAAACTCGTTCTTCTATTCTTTTTTACATTCTAATTTCCTTGGTCAAGCCCCAATGGTTCTCCTTCGCCCTTCACCCAACACAATACCGGTCTGTTAACTTGTTCTTTAATTTGTAATGTCTTTATATTTATTTGTTCTATGTTATATTTATGTATTCTTTGTAATTGGACTTGCTCCGTTTATATAATAATAAAATAAATTAATATTGAAAATCAATTTTTTATTGAGTAAAATAAACTGATAAGTATTTTTGTTCTCTTTTATTTTTGCTATTTCAGATATGTATATTGTTGTAAGAAGAAAATTATGTGTCTAAAATACATTCTTAATAATTTTAACAATAAATAACTGGACTCCGAACTTTATGCATTTACATAAATCTTATGAAGCTGCATACTAACAATTTCTAAAAAGTCTAACAATTTTATCCACAGAGTACCTACTGAACAGAAATTTGTAAGAAAACCCCCATAAAATTAAAATGTCTATAAACAGCTTAAAAATGGCTACAATGTTTTAAAAATTTTACTACCTCTAGAAAAGACAAACATATGTTTTCTGTTCAAACATAGTTTCTCTTTTTATTTCTTGTTTCTAAACTTAAGTCTACAAATATTATTAACTGAATCAAAAAAAAACATAATACATTTTGTAAATTCTTCCACTTACCGGTTTTTTCAATTTTTTATGAAACTACCAGTACTACCTTAGTCAAATTTCCTTTAAAAAAAACTGCTAAATTTGAAAATTTTGGGTAGAAAAGTTATTTACAGATAAAATATATATATATATACATCATTGTAAAACCAATATATTCTTCACTATGCTTGGAATAAAAAAATTATTACTTATTGTGCTTTGTATTATATTATATAAAAACTATTATTGTAGATTGACATCATGTATCATATTAAATTTGTTAACTTATTTGTAATTTACTTATTGTTTCAGAATGTAAAACAGAGTGGACTGATTCATGTAGCAAACTGAATAATCTAAAAACTACTACAAAAGTTAAACCAATTAAACAAATTCTAACAGTTCAAACATTAGATGATTCATCAGAGTTTTTATTTTTAAAAAGTATAGTACCAGATTTTATAAAACTCAATAGTAAAAATCAGCGTAAATTTAAAAATGTTCTTTTAAACACATTGGATCAATTACTGGATGAACAAGAAACCTCATCTGGATCATAAATAAATTCAAGTTACTTCATGCCGTTATATACAATCATTCAAATCACTACAACAGCATACAATTCAGGCCTGATTGGAAAACCCCAACCCCCTACTGTTTGTATCTGAACACATACAAAATATAAGTTATTTATAGCAAATCATAATATTTACTATTTTCTAAACTACTGTATTTCTTTATTGATATCTCTATTTGTTATAAATTTTTTTATGTGTACACAAATTTAAAAATTGTTTATATGTGGCCTGATTCAGACCTCCATTTTGATTTTATCCACATGGTATTTCACTCCTCAATGATTTACAGCTTCATTTGAAGCTTTTAAATACTTGTTGCTAGAACACACTAAAATTATACAGAATGTGCTAACTTAAATCTTAATAAGTAATTAGAGAATACCTGTTACATATATAATAAGCTACATGTATTAATGATTGACAATTTTCCATAAGTGTAGTGTAAATACTATTCTGCACCCGCTCAAAGGTTAATAAACATATCAAATTAAAGTATTATGTATTAAAATTGTAATACAGTTAAATTGTATATTATAGGTGTTAGGTTATAAAATACAAATCAACTACAGTGGTTAAACATTTGTTTTACATTTTTTTTTCTATTTGTAAACAAATTTTCTACCAAAATTCTTGTTCCAATAATAATTATTTTTGTAAATTTTCCCATTTTTTTTTTTTTATATATTTTTCAGTTTTGCTCAATTATTATAATAACAAAAAAAGGTCACCTCTTGTTTGCCTATTGGACAAATATTTATGGTAGGAAACATAATCTGTAAAATTTAATAAAAAATTGTATATTTTGTTTTTTTTAAATTTTTTTTTTTTAATGGAAAAAGAAAGGTAAGATAATGAGGAAAAGTGCAGCCACTGGTGTAGGTGGGAAGTTGGGAGTATAGGATATAGACGGGAATTTAATGTATATCTGTAAGCAATGTTAAATCATTGCTTGCGAAAAAGTGATTCTGAGTGGAGTTCAGTTGATAGTGATGCTTTGTCAACAATATATATATCATTTTATAGTAAAATAATTAAATAGGCTTTATATATTTTTTTTAATAATATTTATTTAATATTGTTTCGATTTTCCTAGTTTTCCAACATTTCCCCGGTTTTTCATATTTTTTGGAATCCCTTGGGAAAATCAAAAAAATGATCTCTCTAAAGTACCTCTTTAATGAAAGTTCCTTTTAAAGACATTGCTATCATTAAAAATTGGAGCAAAATTGATGATAGAAAAGTTGTCCATAGAACAAAAAAAATAGTAAGTTTATATTTATTATTTATCGTATATTTTCCCGATTTTTTTCGGTTTTTCGCATTTGATGAGAAAATCGAAAAATGATCTCCCTTTAATACCTCTATACGCTGATTTCCTTTTTAGAAAAGGTGCTATACGGTGAAATCTGAGCAAGTCTTTTGGTAGAAAAGTTGCGCACATATAAAAAAAAAAAAATAAACATCTTTGTAAAACCAAAAGCTTCTTGGCTCCTTTCAGGATCTAAAATACTTTATGATACGGTTTCCCTGCTATGTCCAGACGCGACGTCTGACGCTGAGACCCTAGTATCTAGATTTAATATTTTGTGTATGACTGGTTTCCTTGCCCGCGTTTGACGCGACATTTGTACCGGCCCGGACCAATGTTGCGTCCAGACGCCTAGGCACGCCCAGACGTCAACGAATCGCACATTTTCGTATTCCTCAACAAAGGACGAAGCTTTGATTGCACTTGTAAAAAATAACAAAGTTATTTTATTTATATTTGTAAGCAACGATAAATCAATGATTGACAATCTACGATTCCAAGCGCAGTATGGTAATGCATAATTTGAAGTGTTGTAATTTTTTTTGCGATTTTCGTTTAAATTTTTGATTTCAAAATGCTTATTAAAGAAAAAAAAGTCGTCCGATGATTTTGGAAATTTTACCACGTCTATGCAAGTCTCAGTGGCAGATTTACGGGCGGGTGGGGGGGTCCAGGGGTCTGAACCCCCCAAACGCTGATATATACATATATATATATATATATATATATATTTATTATAGTTTATATAATGCACTATACTCAGAGTCTGATCCAGTAGGTATACGTATACGGTATAAAATATATTTATGTATTTCAAATATAAGTTGGTTGATTATCAAGAATCTACTGAAATAATAATCATAATAATATTTTACCATTTACGTTTAGTGGAGATCGGTCGTTATAGTGTGTATTTAGTGTATTCAAATAAATTGGTTATAATATAGCGCAGTTCGGTAATGCATAATTGGAAGTGCCGTAATTATTTTGCGATTTTTGTTAAAATTTGTTTTCAAAACGCTTATTAAAAAAAAAAATTGTCCAATGGTTTTAAAAATTTGACTACGTTTGGGTAAGTCCAATATAAGTGTTATTGACAAGTTTCAAGTCTCAGTGTGTATTTATAACCAAATTACAACAAAAAACTCCCAAAAATTTAAAATCCTTAAAAGCTCAAAAGTGACTCAAAAGATTTTGGCAATGATACCGTAAGAAAGTAAATCAAAAAGGCAACAAAAAAGGTGTCTTGTGATTTTTCGATCAATCATCTTTTCTGGTAGAAAACGTCGTCTGTGTTTTTATAAAATAATGAAATCGTGAAATTTTACGTTTTCCTACGTTTTTTCCCACTTAAGTGCTTTTATTTAAAAAATGAGGTCGAAAATCAAAAAATGACCTTTCTAAAGTACCATCTAGACTACTTGAGCTTTCAGAAAAGTAATAAAATAAACATCTTACTACGCTTGGCATCTAAAATAACAAATAATTTAAATTTTGAAAATTTGGGTAATAAGTAACTTAAATGACTTAACTTAACTTAAAATATTTTTTAATTAAGTGACTCAATTTAAAAAAGTAACTTACTTTCAGCGTTGTATTGTATATGGCTAACAATCTAACTCATTTGGCTTATAGATAAGTTTTATAAAAACCAAACATTATTTTTCATTATTATTTTCAAAACAAACATTATTTTTATGGAATTTATTTAATTTCATCATGTAAAAAGTAAAAAAAAAAAGAGAAAAAAAAATGTAGGTCTTGTTTACAAGAACAAAATAAATTTTTGTATTCCATTGTCTGGACAGTACTGAATTAGTCTGTGAACTCAAATGCTTGTCACAATTTCATTAGATTAGAAATGCACCGATCAGAATTTCAGTAAGTTTCATATGGTTGGGTTATGTTAAGCACTTTGACTATACTCTGATAATCCTAGTTCAATATGTTATCACCCAACAGTTGGATTTTTGAAAAAAACATGTAGGTAAAACATTAAGATCTAATCCAGTTCGAACGAAAAAACGAGATGCCTGGTAAAAACATTTAGATTTTTAATAATAAATTGGGAAACGAATATGACAGATTAAAATGATTTATTAATATGAACGTAGTAGTTGTTTTTCGAGGCAGTTGTCTTCCCAGAAAAATCAGTCTAGTGTCTACTAGTTATACACTAATACATTATATTTATGTAGATGTACCTATATACAGTTTATATTCATTCGTTTTTTGTCACATATATTAATAAATAAAATATATGGGCATAATTTTAAACAAGTTAGTAAACCTCACTATGTGCTGAATTTTCGGGCTTCTCTATGTGTTTTTAAACAATAAACTATAACTCTATTTATAATTTTAAAATTATTATTTTCTCTTACATAAAACTTTACCTCCTTATTATATTAATAGATATGGATCCATAAACATGTATTAAACATTGAATTTATAAAAGAAGCAAATACCTATTCTAGTTTAGTATAGGTACTTTAGTATCTATACTAAATAGATGTACTTTTTGTGGTATTTATGTTTTTATTTTTTAACATTTAAAAACATACATTTTAGAAAATACGTCGTGAATATTTGTATGAAATGTACCTATTTATTAGTTTTTTAAAAGGTAATACACTTGTTTTAATAGCAACATTATAACCTATTTTATTTATGTATTACCTATTTAAAACCTATTATAAATTATTCCTAACATTCTAATAATCAATTGTTTTTAAGGTAGTTTTCTGTGTCTAAACTTCTTTTTTTTTGTATCTAATTATTTTAATTTTTAAATAATCTTATTTTATGTTGTTAATAACTGCAGATAAATAGGTATACTCATAGAAGAACCAATAGTACAAATGTGTACTATGATTCTACTTGACAATCCTATCTATGTATCTATGTACTATAAAATTAATACCTCGTAGGGAACTTTATAAACATAGCAACCAAATCAACAAAATTAAACATTCTATGTAATTATGGGCACAACATAAATATAAGGTTTCTAAAATTATGTTCAGAAAACTAAAGCAAAATTTTAATCCAAGGGAAATGTAATTTTTGTAATTTTGTGCCATAATTAATCATTTTAAGTATCTAATATATTTCTGTAGGTTATAATTAGGGTTAGGGACTTCTAACATTTGAATATTATTTTTGAAAGATAATAAAAATATCAAGGTCAAACAAAAATACTGTTCATCATGTAAGGAATCTAAATAGGTACTAAATTTTATTTTTGCTTTTCAAAGCATATTTTAGTTGTATATGGCTTTTGAGTATTATGAGGGTACACATCACCCATATCTTATCTTATTGTACATCCATATTCAATTTACAATGTTCAAATACATAAACCCATGTGTGACAGCATAGACCACTTGACTATCATAATGATTGTTAATTTAGTTAACAAATAACAATTATTGAGTTTTATCAGTAACTCTTAAATAACCAATCTCGAAACAAGAATTTTATGTAAATGCCATTAATAATAATAATAACAATAATAATAAAAAAATAATACATAGGTATTATATGTCAAGTATTGCAGGTACATAATTTTAATGAAAACAATTTTTACAGCATATTTTAGTGCAAATCTGGTTGTTTTATAAAGTATATTTCCATGTTTTTTAGAGTTAGAAGTCTCTAAGCTTAGTTATGATATTATTATAATTATACATTTAAATAGGGTATTTTACATTATTAAAGAAATAAAAAAGAGACAGATACTTGAAACGATGAGTGGGTTACTGTTGTAGGTGAGAAGTTGGAAAGTAGGATATGTAGAAGAAAATATGATAATTTAATCCTAGTAGGTATGTATACCTATGAAATATTATTGTTATAACTTGTTTTATGTTTATCACTTAGAGATCTCCATGAAAATAATGAAAACTGATAAGAATAAAATATTGGTGATTACGGCTTTTGGGTAACCTTAAATAATGGTATTAACCAATATGTACCAACTGGATAACAAAGAGCATTTCTAAGATCCGTTGGAACACAGGGATCAGCTCGTATTCTCGTTTAATCTATCCGATTGTCATTCGTCACTCACCAGTACCCATTAGTCACTAGTAATAATGCTTCAAATCTGCATATTTCGTTCGTTTTTATTTCGAATAAAAATGTTCCCCTGCAAATTCATCGGTTTTTTAAAAGTGTTCTTCATGAAGTCGGCTGACGATGTACCGTTAGAATTATTAAAATAATTTAATATTCCTATCGAGCAGATAATAAACCATGGAAACAAAGAAGATTCGGAAGTGGTGAATCATTTCCTATCTTAACCTTGCCGTGGATATTAGTCAACGAGTAGAAGAATAATTTTTTTAAATTATTACTAAAGACCAACTAACCAAATTATTATTATTATTATTATTAACGAAGAGCGACCGAGGCATAATACATGCTGGAAATGTGAATTAGGAAAAGGTGATTTTTCTAATACATACCACATGACTGCCGACCACCATCACCTGTTTTTGCAAAGTACTGAAATTTGTACGGTTCTTCTTACACAATCTTTCGAATTACGACTCGGATTTCATAGTAACCGAATTAGGTTAAATGTAGAATCTATTACTGTGGTACCTATCAATGAAGAAAAATGTATTTAGTTTTCAAAATACACCAGTAATACTTTTTCCCTACGATTTATAGATTCGTTGTGATTTATGGCGTCTAGTTTATCGTCTCTAGTCTTGTACCTAAACACCCCACAATGCGAAAAGTTCCATGAAACATGTATAGTATTTAATATCGAAGATATGGCACTTGTCACGGTAAAAGGTGTGTGTATACACAGACAGTTAAAAAAAGAAACATTACCAAGGAAAAAAGATTTCTATAAGACGCTGATAAGGACGAAACAGAAACATTTCAATTGCTGGACGTTGGGAGAATATAGTGTTCTTTACTCGAGGATCGATGTTATCCTGTTGTTCGATGTGTTCAAGAACTTTAGGGATATTTGCCTTTTAGCATACAATTTGGACCCAGCATATTATACAGCATCCGGATTCATCTTTGACTGTACTGACATTGAAATATAGAACTAGAACTTCTTTCCAACCACGATATGTTGCTGATGTTTTACCGGTGGTGGACCAGTATAGGCAAGTATGCGATACGGAAAGGCTAATAATTAAACAGTACTGAGCTATAACAGAACAAATGATAATTCATGGCTGTAAGTATACATATTTTTAAAATAAATAATATTTTAATATTTTTCTGAATTTAGGTAACAATTTGTACGGATGGGCCATGTCCCAATACATGCTTCATGATGTTTCAAATAGTCTGATCCTACATTAAACTTATTGAGGAATTTGGATGACACTTCACCTATAGAATGGGCATATGAAGTAAATATTTAATATTCAGAACACTTAAACTAATGATTTTGAAAAGGACTATTACAGATTAATGAACAATTCATTATTTAGTAATTTATTATTCATAATTAAAACTCTACTGTTATAATATTAATATGGTTTCATATGTAAGACGATGGAGTCTATGCAACAGAGGATAGATGCTAAACTGTTATCTACTGAGAAGAGAGTACAGAAACTCATAAACAGAATAACATTAAGATCATGAATTAAGATTTACAGAGTACTGAACGAATGTGTGATTAGTGAAGTTTGAACTTTCTCAATTTTGGCAAGGTCACTAACACCATCTAGTCTACTCTTTACAAACTATGTCAATATTTATTGTAGAATAGATATGCAATTTATTACATATCCTACTTCAGTCTAAACTTAAAACTGGTTTTAGTTTATTTTTATACCAAATTTATCTTTAAAGCGCTAACTGTCATGCCATACAGTGAGAACTAGACAGATTCAGAAAAAAATTGATAAGACCTTTACTTACATTGGGTACCTGTATATCTTAATTTGTGGTTCAGATGCATGTTTGGAGAGAACATATATGTTGACAGTCCAAAACTCCTATATTTTTGCGCATCTCTACACAAAACTTACTACTATTTAACCCTATTACTGGACTCAAACTCGTGCTATGAAATACAATGACGCGTTTGATGATGGAGCGTAATCATTTGCTTTTCCTCATTTTATGGAGTATAGAAAATAACTTTTAGCTGCATGTTATATTGAAGTTCAAGTAGTTATATACATTTGATCATGGTTATCAATCCCTTTATATTGCTGCGAGGAAAAAGAAGCCTGACTTGTAATCAAACAAGAGTAAGTATCTTCATTTCCTTCAATCTGTTGATGAGATATTCCACTTTTAAGTTTGGTTTGGAAGAGAGTTATAGTGGAGTTTCATTAAATGATACAAATTTTATGTGGCAGAATGATGTGTGGTGTTTTAATAATGCACCACTTCTCTTCTCCAACCTAAACTTAAAAGTGGAATATTTCGTATATAGGGTTGTCTGAAACGTGATTTTACACTGAAAACTGTCCAATTGAAATTGGTTTTCAATTAAAATTTTTATGTATACTTCCTAAGGAATCTTCCAATAAAATTTCATATTTGTCATTCGTACATACATATACCTGAATAACAGCGATTTATACATGTTTCTTTTATGTTAAAATCGTTATTTTTTCAAAAGTTTTACCATTTTTTTATGCCTATTTTATTTACATGAATATTTTTTTTTTAACATTCAATACAATTAATTTGAAGAAGTTTAAGTTAAAATATATAGTTAAATAAATAACAAACATGGCTACATATCTGTTTTCATTATTTTTTTTTTTTGTTATGTAAGCAACAGAATTTTAGATTCTGAGTGAAGTGAAGAAGCCTATTGTTTTACAAAGATATTTTTTCTTTTCTACCAGAGATCTTGCTCCAGTTTTTAAGTGTAGAACTTTTTCTGAAAGGAAATCAGTGTGGGGAGATACTTTAAGGAGGTAATTTTTCGATTTTCAAAAGTTTGTTCATCAAATGTGAAAAACCAGTAGTTATAATTTTTATGTTCTATGCTGCAGAAAAACGATGTATAAAACCCCTAAAAATCTAAAAACAGAATTTTAGTTATATTTTTGTACTTTATTTTTTTAATATTTACAAAAATGTTTGCAATTTTTAATAATTTTAACTTTATACAATATATAGTATAGAATATGACATTTCTTTCTTAAATACTATTATATAAGTTATTTTCCTTCTCTAGTTAATGGATATATTCTACAATACGATCATGAATTAAAATACAGTAAGCTGTTACATCTTTTAAATTTTTAGAGGTTTCTATTTCAAAATGTAATCAACTGAAGAAGTTGTTGAATCATTCTGTTTCAAAGTGTCAATAATAACAATCAGTCCCCAATCTAAAAACCCTGTAGGACTTAATATAGGACTTCGCATATCACACATATCATACAATAAAGAGAATTTTTTTTAATAAAATCTATAAATTCAAATCATTTTAGGGATACATAAAATAATTTAAATATATGTTCATGTTTGTTAAATTACAATGCTCAAATTCACTATAACCTTTGCTTTTTTTCTGTAAATCAATTATAACATATCTTGGTTTTTCCAGCTTTGAAGTGGTTTTCAAATTCCAAAAAACTTTCTGAATCACTAAGTTCAAGATATTGGTATAAATATTAATAGCTTAGAAATAAGGTTTTTTTTTACATATTTTTCATTAATTTAAATCTCTTGTTATCATCTAGGCTTACATGTGGGATTTTCCAGACTATTTTTTTAATTTCCAGCGCAGCAGTACTTGTTAATAATGTTGACTCTGCAACTTTTTTTAATGTATCAACATTTTTCCTTGTTAGTATTAATTCAAGTCTCATATTTACCAAAATCTTTAAAATCCTCGAAAAATCCCATCAAATGCTTCAGTAGAATACATACACAAAAATATCTACGATCAGTATCTGTTATAGATTTATTGTTTTTAAAAAATCAGCCTGCATTTTGATTGCAATTATATTCATCTAATACATGTGAAAAATAGCTTTTTATCAAGCTAGTTACCCCTAAGTTTTTTTTATCCATTTCCACTCCATTAATTTTAAATCTTACTTGGTCAAATAGTTGAGATATTCTGTTTTTAAAAAGACTAGTTTTAGTTGGTTTTGCTATTTTCCCCTTAATATAAAGAAAACTTTCATGAAGATATGGATATGTGGTTTAACTGTTGAACTAATATTCACAAAAATATAAACAATTATACATTTTTAAATACATGAAATTTATTAATATTTTATTCTTATATTTTAGATGAATAATTTCTATGAAAATTGAATTTCAAAAACTGTCATGTCAGCAAAACAAAATAAGACTAAAGAAACAAAATTCATTATATATAAAGGTTGGAGATAAAAAAACATCTCTGGATCCATGACTTGAAAATCCAGTCTCCGATAAAGTGACAGACTATTTTGTAATTGAGCATTACAGGACCAAAGACATGTAAGAGGCTGCAACTAACAAGCAGTAAATTTAAATTAAGCTTTACTAAAATATAGACCATGTATAATATTTTTATAAATTTTCAGATGGAAAGTAGCAAAATGCACTGATGAGAAAGGGACTGAAGAAAACCAGTTTACAGCCAAAATGAATGATGTGATACAGGCAGGGCTGAATATTTTCATTAGGAATCTGGTAACAACTGTCAATAATTACAAAATATGAAATTTATAAAAATATAATACATTAGCAGTTTTTAACCTTTTTTAGAACATGGACCCCTGATGAAAGATTTTTAGAAATCGCAGACCACCTACCAATTTTTCGTTGAATGCCTTTTTTTTTTACAAAACATCTCATGTTATCCTAACCAAAATTATAATTATTATTATGTATTACAAGTTATAAATGCTATTTTTATGCATTAGAAGTAGACATAACAAAATATACACATTTATAATTATTTTTGTTAAACTTAATTTTTAATTTTAAACTTTAACATCATTAAAGACTTAAATGAAAAAAAATTGTAATATAAATTATTTTATTTTTATTTACTCAACCATTAAGTCTTAATGTGATGGTTGATGTTGCATTTCAGTTGTGAGTTTCAATCATAGTTCAGATTCTATGTTTTCTATTTGGTTTTCAAACTTATTTTCAATATAAACAAGGGGGGAGAAGGCTTCTTCATATAAATAAGTTGTGGGGAATAAAAACTTAGAGCTTTACTCGATAATTCTGAATAACCTTTTTGAACATGCAGTCAAAAAATTTTCAAGGACTTGCCTCAACAACTGTTCTTTAATATTTCCTGATAAACCATAAATTTGTTTTTTTTTATTGTATCATTTGATAATGTAATTTTATTTGGGCTATTTGCAGCTTCTTTGCCGATCATTACAGAAACCGTAGCTTTCGCAGCAGGTAATATTAAGTCTTCTGCAATCGTGTGAGGTTTCCCTGATTTTCCAATAAGTAAAGAAATAGCAAAATTTACGGCATATATATATACTTTGATATAATTATATAGAAAAGTATTATATATATAATATTAGTATTTGTAAAACATTATCTGAATTGAAATCAAAATTTAAATATAATATTATACCTACCTACATATTATTTTGAGATAACATTATTTTAAATTACTGAATATAAAAAAATAAAAATTAATACTGAATTATAGGTTTATATTATGCTTTGAGTTTATGTTATTATATGAAAAAATTAAAAATATCTAATATTTTTTAAATGAAAATATGTGTTAAAGTATAATATTTGTCTCAAATTCCTAATATTTCGAAAGGTTATCACTGTATTATAGTATACAGTGAATGAATGTTTGCGATATGAATAGATTAGTTCCAGTGTCTTTTATGATCTCAAACTTATTGAAAGATAGATTTGATATCTATACAATATCAAAAAACTTAATATTTTAAATTCGTTTATATGACTGTAATTTGAAGAATAACATGACAAAATATAATTTAATATATATAATAAATCATAGAAGTATATTTAAAACATATAAACAATATTTTAATCAATTGAGAACATACTATACTAATAATTACATTTGCTTATAATAATTTTAAAATACAATAATACATTTTAGTACTACATTTTTAATCATACTGGTTGATAGCTGAGAGTCTTAAGTCTCTAAAAATAGGAAGGAGAATGTAGGTAGTGCTAAAGATGCTAAATCTTGAAGTATCATATTATTCAATCTTTCATGATGAAATTGTTGAACTTTGTGTATAAAACATTTTTGTTCCCAGCATAGATCAGTTAAATTTAAATTAAAATTATGAATATAAGTGTTTACAAAATGTACTACATTGACAAGTTTATGGCACATCTTGAATATCTCGTTTTAATAATGAATAAATAAGGTCAAAACATGGTCAATATAAATTTAATTAATTCTGTTTTTTAAAAATATATGAATTGATGAAAGGTTGTAATTCTTTTAACCACAATAAATTGTATCAAGTTAATCTAATCCATACCAATATGTAAGGTTAATGTTTCATTATTTGAGTTGATTGAATAATAAAAGTTACATATTATAACTATATGTATATATATTATATATTATATTTGCTGTACATACTTTACTTAGCATCAAATTAAATTTATCTTTGTTAAAAAAGTTTTGCCATTTGATTAAATCCAAATGAATTGATTGTTTGCTTGAAATACACTCGTAAAATAACAACCGAAATTCTACCAATTAAAAAACCAATGGTTAAATTTGTTTAATTGTAAGGATGAATACTGAAAACTGACTTGTTCACTATTGCAGCTGCCATAATTTGATAACTTACTGCTGTATTACTAATGTCAATTATGCTATTTACCGAAATTGTATTGGTTTATAAAGTCTTGAAATTTAATTGTGTTATAACCTGTATAAACATAGTATTGAAATTTAATCATGTTGAAACCTGTGCTAGTATAAAAACCTGTTTATAATGTTTATCTAAAAAATAACTGTGGATGATGGCATACTTACCGTACAGCTAAAAACTAAATCTATAAATGAAACCTATTATACTGAGTTTTATAAATCAGCCGCATTAACCCACTAAGCTATCATATCACATGAAATAAAAACAATATAAATATTTATGGCTAAAAGCACAGTCACATACGACTTTTTATTTTTCATGGATAGCAGATTCTACGAATTGGTTGCCTTCTTTAAGTAGTACGACCAAGCATGTTGGTGGATGATACACATGTTCTTTCCAAAGATCGTCTGTAATTGCCCACTCATGAAGAATTAGTCAGCAATTAAAACATTGAACACAGTTTCTAGTGCCTACGAATTTGAAACCAGCTTCACACATTACAAATTTGTTCAGATGTTTCAGAGTGAATGAATTGAATACTTTGAGTTATGATGCAAATGTAGTTAGTTCTGAGTATTTTGATAAATTCATAATAAAAAAAATGGTAATATTACTTCACTAATAACTCATCCGTATCGGTTAGTTAAGTTATAGTTAGAAAAACTCAGGAATGAATGATAATAAATTGATGCATTTTTTGATAATGGTAATATCTAAATTTTTACTGAAACATCGTCTAATCGTTGAAGTATTATAGACAAGAATGTTTATTAATAATCACACAACGTGTTTATTTAATGTCTAACTTGAAAGTAAGTTCATATTAATAATACCATTAACTATTATCGAGAGACCAAATGTTCAGATTCATTTGGCGTTTTTCTGCGGCATAGAGCATACAAATTAAAACTACTGGTTTTTTACGTTTAATGAACAAATTCTTGAGAAAATCGAAAAATTACCTCCCTAAAGTATCTCCCCACACTGATTTCCTTTTGGAAAAGGTTCTACACTTCTGCGATTTTGTTTTCGTAATTTGACGTCGTTATAGTACGTTTGCATCCGCCCATCGAAAATTACGCAACAACGGTACCAGGATCGCATGTGGATACGACGTCACCCTGCCACCGCCGCTCTATCACCGACGGTATAATATTGTCGGCCAAGGTGTAGTGTACGTAATGCTGGTGCGGGGGTTATTTCTACCGTGACGTAAATGGTCGGGCGAGTGGCGGTGTCAGTGTAGTTGAGGATCCAAAAAAATTTAGACTATGGTAAGGGGTATAGGTACTAGGAGCACATGCGGAATGCAGGCGAATTAGACTTTAACGTTGAAACACCGAGCGGCCTCAATCAGGATTTCAAAAAAATAACTAATTTGTGTTTTTTTTTTTTTTTTTTTTTTNGAGAAAATTTAGACGACTATGGTAAGGGGTATAGGTACTAGGAGCACATGCGGAATGCAGGCGAATTAGACTTTTACGTTGAAACACCGCGGTCCATTCAAGCGGCCACAATCGGGATTTCAAAAAAATAACTAATTTGTGTTTTTGTGTTTTTTTTTTTTTTTTTGTCAATTTAAAATTCATGGAACTCTAAAATTTCTTGTTTATATTATTTCTTGTGAACAATGTTGTTACTTTAATATAACGGTATACGTGGTGTGAATATAAGCGATACGAGTTTTTACGATTTGAGATACAACTCTAGTTACATATGGTGCAGTCTGTTTGTCATATAACGTAAAATGACTACCTAAAATAAGTATTTTGCTTAGTATAAATATTAATGACAACTCAAGTGTTGCAATTTGTTCGGAAATAAGTATTTTTAATATTCACCAAGCATTCCAAACATATACTATTAAGTAGTAATATTTATTTTTTTTGCGTTTTTGGATGAAAATACTTCATTGTACTCAAATACTCCATTGTATTTCTTGAACTCCATGAATATTTTAAACTTAATTACAACAAATAAATCAAAATTAAATAAAATAAATAAATAAATTTTGTATGTATTATTTCCAGATTTTTTTTTCGGTTTAGACAATTTTTTACATACAAAACAGGGTTAATAACAAGTTAACAGACCAAATATATTAAAAATTGATTAAAAAGTTGCTCGTTGCTTTTCGATCGGAGCAATTTTTCTGGTGAAAAAACACCTTGCGTCCAAATTGACAGATTTAAATAAATTAAATGGAATTCGACTAAGCTAATATTATGTTAATACAAGAGAAGCGTGGTTATGTCGTTATTTGATGAAAACGTCGTCATAGTTCTCGTTAGCATCTGCCCATCGAAAATTACGCAACATCGATACCAGGAGCGCATGTTGAAACGACGTCATCCTTCTACCCAGCAACCGCCGCTCCGCCGACGAGGCTTATTTACTTCGTTTCCATGTGTGTAGGTTAGGTTAGGTATATAAAAATATGTACGTAGAAAAATATAGCTTATAATTGTGTTAGTAAGTGTTTAATTTTCTACTATTTTGTGCTCTATCGAGTTTTTCCTTCTATTAAATGTTCAACCCAAACAAATGGTTCCTCGTTAAATTATTTGTGCACAGTCGAGTTCCAGTTTTCAACTGAAAAATTTTTAATTGTTGTTTGTTTTTGTTGGTGTTATGTTAAAACCTTTTAATTTACAGGAGTGAATGCTGAAGGAATACAAAATTAAAATTTTAATTTCGAAGTATCTGTTACACGAATTGAATTATGTACATTAAACACATTGTCTTGGTTCACTTGCTAAAAAAAAAATTATTTTCAATTGAAAATCAGGCTAATAATAATTCTAAAAAAATTATGTGGAAGAAAATAATGATAATGTCCTGAAAGTAATTTGACGTCGTTCTAGTACGTTTGCATCCGCCCATTGAAAATTACGTAACATCGGTACCAGGAGAACATGTGGAAACGACGTCACCCTGCCACCACCAGCAGTATAATATTATCGGCACCTCTCCCCCACCACATCGACCCTTATCACGTCTATAGAGAATTTAGAGTTGCCTATCTCAAAATAAAATGATGATGTCCTGAGAGGTTGGTTGACTATAGTTATCGCTTGGAAACGCCCTCAATTTTTTATAAATGGTCCCCTTCAAAGTTTTTCCAATTTTGACTACTGAATGTAGCAATAGGTACTTATTACAGTAACGTTTTTATTAAGTAACCAAATGATAATTGAGGTTTTTTACGCCCATAATATTATTTAATTTTTTTAAATTAGTAGCACGCTAAATTGTTTATTAGATTAATAAATCAGAATAACGCATACAACTTTCTTGACTTGTATCAAAATTAAAATATTGTACTAGAAGTATTTATATACGTATATTGGTATTTTTTATTTATTGTTATTTATAATAATTTATTTAAATCATTAAACAGTGTTCTGATTTCACGAATTTACGATCATTACAAAATTTCCAGAAATTACGAGGTAAATCGTACAAAAATTCCCCTCTGACATTAAATCTGTACATTTCCACACTCCGTGCAAACCAAAGTATGTACACTAACTAAGATTAATAAATATTAAAAATTAATTAATTAAATATTTGTGTTAGACATAACAAGCTTTTTTTGAATTTTAAAGTATTTAATTTTAGTTCATCTTAGGTATTGTCACGTACGAGTCCAACCAAATGCACATAAATTGAATAAAACAGTATTTCATCATAAAAATGTTGATACGCGTAGGGCGATTATGTTGTCGTAATTTGACGTCGTTAAGGTACGTTTGCATCCTACGTAAATGATAATAAATGTTTTTTAAGCCCATAATATTATCAATTTTTAAAATTAGTAGCACTCTAAATTTTTTATTAGATTAATAAATCAGAGTAACGCATACAAATTTTTTGACTTGTATCAAAATTTAAAATATTGTGCTAAAAGTATTTATATACGTATATAGGTATCTATTGTTTAATGTTATTTATTATAAATTATTTAAATTATTAAACAGTGTGCTTTATTTTTAAAAATTTATTAATGCTCATTAAAAACTTCCTTTATGATAGAGCTAGTTTGTTTGTTTAATTGAATAAAACACCAAGTAATTCAATACTGAGACAGAATGTTAATTACGAAATTGTTAATTAAAATCACATCAATCCGGTGAATCACAACGTACTCAAAAACCTTGAAACCTTGAAAATTCAGTAAAGGCTACAGAGATTGGACATAAAACAGGTAAAAACAACCAACAAATTATGATAAGATTTTAAGATCATTAAAAAATTTCCAGAAATTACGAGGTAAATCGTACAAAAATTCCACTCTGACATTAAATCTGTACATTTCCATAGTCCGTGCAAACCAAGGTATACCAACTTAGATTAATATAATATATATAATATAATTTGAGTTGGACCTTACAAATTTTTTTTTGAATATTTAGATTTTTTTTATTTTAGGTATTGTTACGTACGAGTCCAATCAAATGCACATAAATTGAATAAAACAGTATTTCAACATAAAAATGTTGATACGCTTGGGGCGCGATTTTGTTGTCGTAAATTGACGTCGTTCTAGTACGTTTGCATCCGCCCATCGAAAACTACGCAACAATGGTACCAGGATCGCATGTGGAAACGACGTCACCCTGCCGCCGCCGCTCCATCGCCGACGGTATAATATTGTTGGCCAAGGTGTAGTGCTGGTGCGGGGGTTATTTCTATCGCGACGTTGATGGTCGGGCGAGTGGCGGTGTCAGTGTAGCCGAGAAAATTTAGACGACTTTGGTAAGGGGGTTAGGTACTAGGAGCACATGCGGAATGCAGGCGAATTAGACTTTTACGTTGAAACACCGAGCGGCCACAATCGGGATTTCAAAAAAATAACTAATTTGTGTTTTGTGTTTTTTTTTTTTTTTTTGACAGTTTAAAATTCATGGTACACGAAAATTTCTCGTTTATATTATTTCTTGTGAACAATGTTGTTATTTTAATATAACGGTATACGTGGTGTGAATAAGAGCGATATGAGTTTTTACGATTTGAGACACATGTCTAGTTATGTATGGTGCAGTCCATTTATCATATAACGTAAAATTACTACCTAAAATAAGTATTTTGCTTAGTATAAATTAATATAAATTATTATTAAATGAATATAAATATTAATGACAACTCAAGTGTTGCAAATTTTTCGGAAATATATATTTTTAATATTCATCAAGAATTTCAAACATATACATATATTATATATATTAAGTAGTGGTATATAGTTTTTTTGCGTTTTTGGAAAATACTTCCATCGTATTTCTTGAACTCCACGAATACAAGAGAAGCGCGATTTATGTTGTCGTAATTTGGTGCGAACGTTGTAGTACTCGTTTGCATCCGCCCATCGAAAATTACGTAACATCGGTACCAGGAGAATATGTGGAAACGACGTCACCCTGCCACCGCCAGTAGTATAATATTATCGGCACCTCTCCCCCGCTACACCGACCCTTATCACGTCTATAGAGAATTTAGAGTTGCTTATCTCAAAATAAAATGATGATGTCCTGAAAGGTTGGTTGGCTATAGTTATCCCTTGGAAATGCTCTCAATTTTTAATAAATAGTCCCTTCAAAGTGTTTCCTATTTTGACTACTGAATCTAACATTAAGTACTTATTACAGTAACATTTTTAATCAGTAACCAAATGATAATTGAGGTTTTTTTAAGCCCTTTTAATACCTAATTTTTAAAATTAGCAGCGCGCTAAATTTTTTATTAGATTAATAAATCAGAATAACGCATACAAATTTCTTGACTTGTATCAAAATTAAAAATATTGTACTAGAAGTATTTATATACATATATTGGTATTTATTATTTATTGTTATTTATTATAATTAATACAAATCATTATACAGTGTGCTTGTTTTTTTTAAAAATATGTTAATACTCATTAAACACTTCCAATATAGTATTGCAAGTTTGTTTTGTTTAATTTAATAAAACACCAAGTTATAAGAAAACGTTATTTAAAATCACATCAATCTCGTGAACCACAACGTACTCGAAGACCACGGAACCGTGAAAATGCAATAAAGGTACTAATACTAAGGTACTTATACTAAAGGTATAATGCTATACTGCTATTGTATTGTTATGTACGAGTCCAACCAAATGCGAACAACATTGATGCACATAGATTAAATAAAACAGTATTTCAACATAAAAATGTTGATTACGTTGATACGAATGAATATTGATACGTTGAACGATTGTTGATACGTGCGGGGCGCGATTTTGTTGTCGTAATTTGTCGTCGTTCTAGTACGTTTCCAGTACGTTCTAGTACGTTTCCATCCGCCCATCGAAAATTACGCAACAACGGTACCAGGATCACATGTGGAAACGACGTCACCCTGCCGCCGCCGCTTCGTTACGGACGGTATAATATTGTCGGCCAAGGTGTAGTGCACGTAGTGCTGGTGCGGGGGTTATTTCTACCGTGACGTAAATGGTCGGGTGAGTGGCGGTGTCAGTGTAGTCGAAGATCCGAGAAAATTTAGACGACTATGGTAAGGGGTATTGGGTACTAGATGCACACGAGAAATGCCGGCGAGTTTAAAATTTTACGCTGAAACACCGAGCGGTCCATTTATAAAGCCACAATCCAATAGTTTTAGCTTTAGTCCGGTAGTTAAATAACGGTGAAGCCAGACCGATAACGACAGCGGCTTGATGTGAATTACATTAGTTACAATCACATTTCGGCGACGGCGACATTTGCTTAAAAGAAAAACAAAACTAACTCGTCTCTTGATTCTTACAAAAAACACATGCTCTGCAATTTTATCGAAGTTATATTAACGATGCCTGTAGTTTTCATTACAATAATACAAAGAATCTATTTGCTCGTAGGGTGTGCCTATTGATGATTTAAACGCGTTCTATTACATATACCCTGTAGCAGTTATTTGTATAAATCAACAATATCGGCGTCAACCAATAGGGTAGAAAAAAAAGGACAAAAACAACATACGTGTATACCATGATACAGGCACAGTGCATACACATAATGTAAACTATTTTTTCCTCTGAAAAAAAAACACCTGTGAACAGCAGAACTTCGTCGCCATATTATGTAATTGAATTTCTCTCCCATAACATTCGTACGATATTTTTAATATTGTTCGTATATTAATTAATATTTCAACAATTATCACATTAGACTGCAAATTATTTAAATTTGAACTCTAGAGGTTTTAATATTTTCCATATTATTATGGTAAATATTGTTCGGTGAGAAAATTCTCCCTAACCTCCTGGCATTTTATTCCAAGCGTGTGTCACGGTTGTCTAAAGTTTTTATATTAATGTAAATTCGTCCGGTTTTCCTGTGTATTCTTATATACATTTTATACATTTCTTGTACTTTTACAAGGGTTTTTATATTGTAATGTCGAACGCTGATGTATAAATTAACTTGACCCCAAAATGTATGGGACAAATTAAAATGCAACAAAATACCAATTCACTATGGTAAAATAAATGTATTAAATGTATTCAAAATTAAAAAGTTTTTGTTATTATATATTTATTCGCTATTTAAATCGTGTGGGTACATCAGTATTTTGTGTCTCGTATTATAAATTATCTGGTAAATTTTCTGTTAGCAATTTTGCTCCGATTTTCAATAATAGCACATTATAAAAGGAAATCTGACTGGGAAGTACTTTAGAGAGGTCATTTTTCTATTTTCTCAGAAGTTTTCTCAACAAATGTAAAAAGCAATAAAAGAACAGAGGAAAAACGGGAAAATGTACGAAATGTAGAGATAAGTTAAAAAATATTACAACCTTTTTAGAGTCTGAGTTTAGCGAAGAATGTATTAGTTTTACAAAGATGTTTGTTTTTTTTTAAATTTTTTGTTTTTTACTGTGTACAAAAATTCTACCAGAAATCTTGCCTCGATATGTATGCGTGGCACCATTTCTGAAAGGAAATATTATCTAAATGGTACTATTGATGAGTAATTTTTTTTTCCTAATAATTTTCATAATACCTGGGAAAAACCATAATAAACGTAAGACAACGGGAAATATACGAAAATAAGGCTTTTATTATTATTTCAATTTTGTTATTTGTTATAAGCCAATTAAAAATGTTCATAGAGAATTGAAATTTAGTCAGAAAACTTATATTTACAGTTTTAGGTGCAATACAATTTTTAAACAATTTAAGCCATTTTTAAACTATTTATAAATATTTTAATTTTGTGAGTTTTATACGTAATTTTTATTTGGTAGGTTCTGTGTGGTAAAATTATTTGACTACACAGAAATGGGTGAAAATTTAACTGGAGGTTTATTAAAAGTCTTACTTTGTGTTCAAAAAAAAATTGAGTTTAATATAGTATTTTTTTTTTTTTTTTTTTTATAAAGGAATTTTGATGAAAATCAACTGAGTAAAAAATTATGTGGAACAAATTTAATTTTTCAATTTTTTTTTTTTTTTTGAACATATGTATATTATCGATTTAAGAACGATGGTGAAGTCAGATTCTAACGGACTGACTAAGTTTCGAAATTATAGCTTTTCGAATTTCTGATATTTTGCGAATATATTATGTTAAATAACTCTATACAGGGTAGTTTTTTTTTATCATGAACAAGCAATTATCTCAGAGGATTTGTAAACAAATCGTCTATCGGCAACCATTCCCTACTCCTTCGGTTTAAACTTTAAACTTTAACTTTATGAGTTAATAAACGGTAAATCTGAAATTAGTGTTATCAAAATTTCTAGAAAAATATTCTTTATTAAAACCTGTATTTAAAAAGGGAGTTTCCTATTTGAAAATCAATAGTAGGTACTTTTTTATGGTATATAGAGTAGGAGTAAACTTAATAAAGATTTTAAAATAAAACCTTAATGATTCCATGATGATTAAAAAATACAGAAATCAAATTCACTTAAAATATTCTTAGTAACTTTTTGATTCGTGATAAAAATCACTCTGTATTTTTTATTTTAAAGAATGTTTGCCGTAATCTAATGGAAATACATTCTTATTGCCATCCTAGGGGTCACGAGTTCAAACCCGGGTTTCAAACAAAATTGTTTGTATTTTTCTCCCCTTTTTACCATAACAAGGAAAAAATAAATGTATTTTAGGTGTACCTCTCTAGGGTCTCTACCCAAATCATTGCTCGCTCGGACTATTTTATTCGCAAAATACCCCTCGATTTGTTGTGCAAACTTTTCTTTTAGAAATCTTGCTCTGATATATCAAGTGTAGCTTATTTTCTAAAAAGAAATTTATCTACATGGTATTTTAAGGAGGTTATTTTTTTAATTTACAAGTGGTTTTCATAATATCTATGAAAAACCGGGATAAAATGTCCCTGTCCTACAACCAAATAAGTTTTTTGTATTTTTAAATTACCTATATTATGATTTTAAAAAATTACTTTTAAATTGCATGTGTTTTTTTATTAACTTAAAATAATAATTATATTGAATATGCTATTGATATTGATGATAATTTTATTATTAGAATGAACATATTAACTTTCAACTGAACTTTTTTTTTCAACGACAAAATGATTTATTTTTCCTAGTATGGTTTTTGGTTAGGAGCTTTTATTTTCTTCAATTCACATTATACACACCGTAACTATATTGTAGGTTTACAAATTCTATAACAAAGATGTCAAAGATATCAAAAGTGAATTGTACAGTGGTTAGATGGATATTCATGGATGTTAATCATTTTTGACGAAGAGAGATTAAACATTCTGTGATTATGTCTTTGATGCTTGGAACAAACAATTTATTTAACTTTTATTTTCAGAGTGGATTTTATGTACGATTTACTTCGTAATTTCTGGAAATTTCGTAATGATCTTGAAATCAGCACACTAATGATTTAAATAAATTATTATAAATAACAATAAATAAAAAATACCAATATGCGTATATAAATACTTCTAGTACAATATTTTAATTTTGATACAAGTCAAGAAAGTTGTATGCGTTATTCTGATTTATTAATCTAATAAAAAATTTAGCGTGCTACTA